TAGCACTCTACCCCTTGAGCCACAGCACCACCTCCCAGCTTTTTCTGTGTATGTGGTACTGAGGAATGGAACCAGGGCTTCATGCATGCTAGGCAAGCGCTCTTCCGCTAAGCCACCTTCCCAGCTCCCTAGCTTGGGAAATCTTTTGTAGAATGACAAACAGGACCACGAGGAAGTGTTTGGTCCACCAGCACTGTAGGCTGGGGCGAGGATGGAATGCTTACAGAATAAAGAGCAGGTTGCTAGGAGCCCCCAGCCCTTGCCTCTTCCTCTCACTCCCTGTAGCTCTCCCTTCTGAGACTCTTCTGCCCCAGAACCTTCCACTAGGTGAGCCTTAGATTATTATTTATTTTTGTCAATCGTGGGGCTTGAACTCTGGGCCTGGGCGCTGACCCTGAGCTCTTCAGCTCAAGATGAGCGCTCTACCACTTGAGCCACAGCGCCACTTCTGATTTCCTGGTGGTTCATTGGAGATCAGAGTCTCACAGACTTTCCTGCTCAGACTGGCTTTGAACCACGATCCTCAGATCTCAGCCTCCTGAGTAGCTAGGATTATAGGTGTGAGCCACCAGCACCTTGCCTGCCTGCCTGCCTGCCTGCCTGCCTGCCTGCCTTCCTTCCTTCCTTCCTTCTTTCTTTGTTGGTCATGGGGCTTGAACTCTGAGCCTGGGTGCTGTCCCTCAGCTCCTTAGGTCAAGGCTAGCACTCTACCATTTGAGCCACAGCACAACTTCCAGCCTTTTCTGTGTATGTGGTGCTGAGGAATCAAACCCAGGGCTTCATGCATGCAAGGCAAGCACTTTACCATCGAGACACCTTCCCAGCCCCCTAACCTTGAAGTTTTTCAAGGGGGCAAACAATCACTGGGTTCATTCTAAAGAAGGCAAAGAGTTGGGCACCGGTGGCTCATGCTTGTATTCCTAACTACTCAGGAGGTTAGTATCTGAGGATCACGGTTCAAAGCCAGCCTGGGCAGGAAAGTCTGTGAGACTCTTCTCTTCAGTGAACCACCAGAAAACCCAGAAGTGGTGCTGTGGCTCAAGTGGTAGAGCACTCGCCTTGAGCAAAAGAAGCGCAGAGACAGTGCTCAGGCTCACAGTTCAAGCCCCACAACTGACCAAAAAAAAATACGTGGTAGTCCTCCAGTTAGGCTGCTATTTGTGGTGGGATGATTTGGGGGTTCTTAGGACCTCCAACCATCTTGTCTCATTTGCTTTCTTTTATTTTTTTAAGAGATGTCTAAGAGTCAGTTTGGACAGGGGAAGAAAACTTTTGACACCTTCTTCTGGGTCAATGAGATCACTGGAGAAATCACCTACCCGCCATGGAAGGCAGATACTGTATGTCCCTCACCTGTGAAGCCTCAGGAACGATCAGCATCCCGCCCTGCCACCCCTGAACCCACACTGCCCTTACCCTGCGCTCCCAAGACACCACTGAAGGACCTGGGTTCCAGAAACTTCCCTCTGTCCACACCAGCTCCGCCACCACGCAAGGCCAAAAATGTAGTAAGGCGATCTCCTCCATTCTCAGCCATGTCTGGCACCCCCTCGCCAGCAGGGGGCACTGTGCCAGCGGCACACCATCATCTTCCTCAGGTCCTTCCAACCCTCCTTCCAGAAGGTCCTTCCCCTAAAAGCTGAAAAGTAACATCCTCCCAAGAATCCGGTTTTCTTCTGCATCCTCCTTGTCTCTATCCTCCCACAGCCGTTTTGCATTCTTCTTATCCATCATGGATCCAGGTAGACATTTGGGCACTGGATGCTTTCAACCCTAATTAAATGTTGCTTAGATTTTGAGACATCTTTTTGCTGTTGATGATGGTCGTGGGGTTTGAACTCAGGGCCTGGGCACTATCCCCGAGCTTTCTTGCTCGAGACTAGTGCTCTATCCCTTTGAGCCACAGCTGTACTTTTTTGGTTTTCTGGTGGTTCATGGGAGATAAAGAGTCTCAGGGACTTTCCTGCCTGGTCTGGCTTTGAACCATGATCCTCAGCTTTTAGCCTCCTGAGTAGTGGGGATTATAGGCGTGAGCCACTAGCACCTGTTTTGTTTTACCCTTAGGATACTTCGTTAAGAGTTGTTTGGGAATCAGTCCAGGGTCTGCTGGTCAGCTCGAGTTCTTGGCTCTAATCAGAGCCATGATCATGACTTTCCCCAAAGAGGAGAGGGTGGAGTGGGGGTGGGGGAGGGAGGTACATGACTTCACGAGTCATCTCTGCTTTCCCCAGGGTCCCCAGGAAGGACTGACATCTCTGCTCCCCCCCCCCACTGTCTTCTCCCATTTGCCTACAGAGTTCTAAATCTCCCTCAGATCCACAGGAGAATAGAAGAGGGAATGTTGCCATGACAACGGAGGCAGAAATTGGAATGCTGTGGCCACAAGTCAAAGGATGCTGGGCAGACACCAGACACTCAGTCTGTTCACACTAGGAGAGCACCAGATGTGTGCAGGTCCCACTCCACTACTGTCCAAGCCAAAAGACCACTCTGTGAACTTCACGTCACAGGCCTGAGTATCAGTTTGCTTTTTTCCCCTTGCGTGTATTCATTTCCTTTAGGTGAAATGAATTAAAACCAACAGAAATGGTATTCTTTCCTGGTCCACACACCTGACTGAGACTTTAAGATTCCTAAGGATTTAAAGGTGAGCTGACTTTGGATCAGGACCTGGTTCCTCTTTCTCCCACAGGCCTAGTTCTAGGGACAGAAATAGCCAGCCCAGGTTGGCTTTGAACCATGATCCTCCTGATTTTAGCCTCCCAAGTAGCTACGATTACAGGCATGAGTTACTGTGATTGGCACCTATTTATTTATTATTTATTTAGTCAGCTGTGGGGCTGGAACTCTAGGCTCCGGCACTGTCCCTGCGCTCTTCATCTCAAGGGGAGCACTCTACCGATTAAGCCTCAGCACCACTTCCGGTTTTCTAGTAATTTATTGGAGAGAAGAGTCTCACGGACTTTCCTGTCTGGTCTGGCTTTGAACCCTGATCCTCAGAGTAGTTAGGATTACAGGCGTGAGCCATTGGCGCTCAGCTCAATTTATTTCTTTTTGTGGCTCCTGAGGCTTGAACTTTGGGCTTGGGCACTGTCCCTGAGCTGCTTTTGCTCAAGCTAGTTGAGCCACAGAGCCACTTCTGGCTTTTTCTATGATTTAATTGCAGATAAGAGTCTCATAGACTTTCCTGCTCAGGCTGGCTTTGACCCTCAGATCTCAACTTCCTTAGCTAGAATTAAGATGCGAACCACTACCACCCAGCTTGCACTGATTTCTTATAATTTCTTATTATTCTGTAGTAGTTGTGAAAGTATTAATAACGAGATAACAAAGGAAAACAGTTTTCTGGTTAATGTAGGTTATTATTTATTATGTAGCGATTGAGACAGAAATCCAATTCAAAACCAATTCAAAAGTCAAGGTTCTATTAGATCATTTTAGAAATGGCACGATCCAAACTTAATTTTCTAGTAAATTTCCCCGTATATTCTTTGAGGAATTTTTCCTGCTCATCATGTAGCTCTGAAAAATCTTCACAGGCAACAATAGGTGTTATATTAGAAAAGAGAATTTTAAGTATATTAAATTAGTGGTTTGCCACAAGTTAAATACACACCAAGTATAAGAATTACAAAGTAATGCGTCTTTGGAACACACATTTGAATTAGAACTTTTAAAGCAACAGATGATATTTTTCATACATTCAAAATACACGCCAAGAACTGATTTTACATTTTGGATCAGTATGATATATTCTATAGGGGGGGCCCTCCTAGTCACCCCTCTTCCCCCAAAAAAATTTTGTCAGTGTCTCAAAGCCAGGACTCATCTTGTCCTCTTGAGAAACAAGCAGAGATTTTGGGTCTGGTTAAGGAATCAAGAGGGGGATTTGCAGAGACAGACACAAGACCTGGAGAGCTGGTCTCTAGCCCTGATGGGAACAATGTAACTTATTTGAGGATAAACTGTTAATCAATTAATTGATTGATTAATTATTTTTAGTGTTGGCATTGGGGCTTACACTCAGAGCCTGCTTGCTGTCCCTTAGATTTTTTTTTTGTCCTCTTCAAGTTGGGTGGTGCTCTATTACTCGAGCCACAGCCCCAGTTTTGGCTTTTTGGTGGTTCATTAGAGATAAGAGTCTCATGGACTTTTCTGCCCAGGCTGGCCTTTGAACCACAATCCTCAGATGTCAGCCTCCTGAGGAGCTAGGATGACAGGCGTGAGCCACCCACACCCAGTTCCTTTCCATCAAAACAAAACCTACCTAAGAGATTCAAACACATTCCCTTCCCTTGCTTATTGATTATTGCAGTACTAAGGACGGATCTAGGACCTTGCCCCTGCTAACTAAGCCTGGGTTCTGCCACTTAGCTACAATCCCAGCTCCAGCAGACAGTGTTTTATGGCATTAAGTTCTCTGGTCACATCATCAGACTGTTTAAGACGTCATAAGTCAATTCAGCCATTTCATCACTTGCTTTCTCTTAGGCAAAATTTGGTTATTGAATGTTTGCTGCCTGTCAATCATCTATCTGGGAGGAATGAACTGCCCATCGCCAGCTACAAAACATGTGCATGTGTGTGTGTGTACAAGTGTGTGTGTGTGTGTGTGTGTGTGTGTGCACATGAAATATACTCACAAGGACGCTTGCTGAACTGTGCTCCGCACTCAAGTCCCTCAGAGCTGTATTGGAAATGAGAGATTTAGACACAAACTTATCCAGTCCGGGACCCAACACTCACTCCTATAAAAATAGGACTTCAAACTGGGTGCCAGTGGCTCCCACATTATCATCCTAGCTGCTCAGGAGGCTGAGCTCTGAGGATCGCTTTTTGAAGCCAGCCTGAGCAGAAGAGTCCCCATGAGACTTTTATCTCCAATGAACCATTCAAAAACTGGAAATGGAGCTATGGCTCAAGTGGTAGGGCGCTAGCCTTAAGCACAAAGAGGCTCTAGGACAGTGCCTAGGCCGAGTTCAAGCCCCACAACTGGAAAAAAAAAAAAAATATATATATATATATGACTCTTTCACTGTAACAAAAAAATATGTCCTTGACTGTAACAGCTTTGTACACATCTGGCCAATGAACATCATAAAACTGGAAGATAAAAGCTTTTTTTTTTCTTTAATACTGGTATAGGGACTTGAACTCAAGTCTTCATGTTCTGTTTTTTTGTTTTGTTTTTGTTCAAGGCTAGCACTTGAGCCACAAAGAGTCTCACCAACTTCCTGCACGGGCTAGCTTCGAACCCTGATTAAGTCAACTCTCAGCTTCCTGAGTAGCTAGGATGACAGGCAGGAGCCACGAGCACGTGGCTGATCAAAAGCTTTGTAAAACAAGTTTCTCCACAGCAATTCGTTTGTAAGAAAATGTCTACTTTCAAGACAGCAATTAGAAACCGTGTTCTTGTAACAGGTTAACCACATCCTATCAAATTGTGGATTGAAATAAGTTGATGAGTTTTTTTTTCCTATCCCTTAAAAAGAAATAAAGTAATGGCTCTGTTACTTGGTAGCTTCTCCATTTTTCCAGTTCCAAGGAATACACAGGTCTCCATCCTGCATGACAGAATAGAAGTGTGAGATGCAAAGATGCATTCCCTGCAGATACGGCAGAGATTGTTCTAGTAGTCTCTTACAACACTCCACCATTTGTATACTAGAAATGCTGGGTTCCTTGTATAACTTCTCCAGGGAAAATTTCTTGGTGGAGGCCTGAATCAATTCGTGTTCAAGGACTTTTAACCTATGGCATGGGGGGGGGGAAAAAAAAAAGGAAAACAAAAGGAAATATTGCCATGAGCTACAACTACATAATTGAACATAGAATGTCAACAGTCTTATCTGCTGGGCATTGGTGGCTCACGCCTGTCATTCTAGCTACTCAGGAGGCTGAGATCTGAGGATTATGGTTCAAAGCCAGCCCAGGAAGGAAAGTCCCCGAGACTATTTTCTCCAATAAACTATCAAGAAAGCCAAAAGTGGAACTGTGGCTCAAGTGGCTGGTATGCTAGCCTTGAACAGAAGAGCTCAAGGTCAGTCAGTGGCCAGGCCCTGAGTTCAAACCCCAGGACTAGCAGAGGAAAAAGAAAATGCATTAGTTCAAAAGCTTTGCTTCTGTTTGACATTGTAGCTAGAAATGACTGAAGACAGTAGAAGTTGCAAGTTTCAAAACATCGTTTTTATTTATTTTTTTGTGCTGGTACTGATTGGGGCTTGAACTCAGGGGCCTGGGCACTGTCCCTGAGCACTCTCACTCAAGGTGGGTGCTCTACCACTTGAGCCACAGTCCCACTACCAGTTTTCTGGTGGTTTATTGGAGATAAGAGTCTCATGGACTTTCCTGCCTGGGCTGGCTGTGAACCAAGATGTCACCCTCCCAAGTAGCTAGGATGACAGCCATAAAGTCAGCAGTTACCAGTCTTTCGTGAGAGAGAGAGAGAGAGAGAGAGAGAGAATGTATGTGTGTGGCCTAGGTGCTGTTCTTGAACTTTTTTTTTTTTTTTTAAACTAAAGGCCATTCTACCATTTGAGCCACAGCTCCCTTTCTGCTTTTTGAAGGTTTATTGGAGGTAAGAGATCTCATGGTCTTTCCTGCCCAGACTGACCTCCAACAAAGATTGTCAGATCTCAGCCTCTTGAGTAGCTGGGATTCTATCTATCCATCTATCTTATATATATATATATATATTTCTTTTTTTTTTGTCAATCGTGGGGCTAGAACTCTGGGCCTGGGCGCTGTCCCTCAGCTCTTCAGCTCAAGGTTAGCGCTCTACCACTTGAGCCACAGCGCCACTTCCAGTTTTCTGGTAGTTCACTGGAGATAAGAGTCTCCTGGACTTTCCTGCCAGGCTGGCTTTGAACCACCAAGATCCTCACATCTCAGCTTCCTGAGTATAGACTGACAGGGATAAGCCACCGACACCTGGCTTACAGTCTCATATTTATGTGTTCTAAATTCCTGATCCTTTCAAAGTTAGCGCGAATGCTGTGGCTTCGCAGAGGGCATGAGTACTTACTCTTCCTTTTTCCTCATGTTCTCTCTCGCCTGGTGGGCCCTGGTGCAAATAAACCACTGCAGACTCACTAGATCGCAGAGCACTGGGATATTAAAATGCCCGAGTTTGTGCAAGCTTGGAGCGTATCTGTCACTTAAAGGAAACATACATTAGGGTGAAAAAAAAAATCACTGACTTTTCTCCCTCTTACTGCCACAAAAAAATGCTTTGATATTCTTGGAGTAGCAAGAGAAATCCCCCAGAACATCCAATTTTAAAAACATGAGCCAGTGGCTCATGCTTGGAATCACCACCACTCAGGGGGCTGAGATCTGAGGACCAAGGTTAGAAGTCAGCCTGGGCACGAAAGTCCAGGAGACTCTTATCTCCTAGGAACCAGCAAAAAGCTGGAAGTGGAGCTGTGGGCTCAAGTGGTACAGCACTAGCCTTGAGCAAAAACAGCAACAACAACAGCAACAACAAAAACAACAACCCCCCCAAAGAAACAACAGCAAAAGCCCCAGGACTAGTATGCACGTGCACATGCGCGCACGCACACACACAGACACACACATTAATTTAAAAAAAATTGTAAGATCTCCGTGCTGGATATGACACAATTCAATGAACTCCATTAGAGGGGGAAATGACATGGTCCTGTTTTAAATATTTACCTGTTAAGAATCATTTCTAAGCCACGGAGACTTTGTGGATGGAAAGAGATTCTAGTTTTCAACAGTCTATTGTAAAACACATCGAGGAGAGAATAATATTCTTCCAGGGTTAATACTGGCTGGAATTCTTCAATATAAATGACTTGAATACCGCCTAGAAGAGAGCTTATTTGGTCTTCTAAAATCATTAGCTTTCTTTGAAGGTCAAAGTAACTTGGTAATCTTTCAAAGAGCTACAGTATTAAGACCAAAAAAAAAAAAAAAGAGAGAGACATATTTAGTTTTATGTTACTAAACGAATGCAACTTTAGGTTTTCCTAAAGAGAACTGAAGAAAACTGAAGGAGAAAACATAGGAGAAACATTTAATATGATGTTTGTAATATGAATATTCAAAACATACCACTGTGCATCTAGATTTTTTTTTTTTTTGGCCAGTCCTAGGCTTGAACTCAGGGTCTGGGCACTGTCCTTGAGCTTTTTTTCTGCTTAAAGCTAGTACCCTACCACTAGCATTCTCCGTAAGTGGAGCTTTTTTTAGTGATTAATTAGAGATAAGAGTCTCTTCTCAGATTCTTGGCTGGCTTCAAACTGCAATCTTAACATCTGAGTCTCCGTCTAGAGTAGCTAGGATGATAGGTGTGAGCCACAGGTGTCTGGCTTATATATGATATGTAATGTAATAAGAAGATAGAAAAGTAGGGAGTGGCCTTAGTTTTCACAAAACGTCACAAAGTAGATTATAAACAATTTGTAGGCTTTTTATGTATATATGTGTATATATATATATATGCATATATATATATATATATATATATTTTTTTTTTTTTTTGGTCAGTCATGGGGCTTGAACTCTGGGCCTGGGTGCTGTTCATCAGCTCTTCAGCTCAAGGCTAGCGCTCTACCACTTGAACCACAGCGCCACTTCCAGCTTTTTCTGTTTATGTGGTGCTGAAGAATCGAACCCAGAGCCTCATGCATTTGAGGCCAGCACTCTACCACTGAGCCACCTTCCCAGCCCAGCTTTTTATATTTCTATTGAATTCATTATAGAACTTTTTTGTGTGTGTGCTGGTCTTGATGGCTGAACTCAGGGCCTGGGTGCTGTCCCTGAGTTTCTTTTGTTCTAGGCTAGTACTCTACCTGCTTGAGCCAGAGCCCTTATTTCCAGCTTTTCTGGGGGGTAGTTTATTGGAGCTCAGAGTCTCATGGACTTTGCTGCCTGGGTTTGAACTGCGATCCTCAGATCTCAGCTGCATGAGTAGCGAGGGTGACAGGTGTCAGCCCCCGCAACCCAGCAGGTTACATGGTAGTAAGAATCTGAGTGGCAAAGTGCTGGGGGCTAGGATGTAAACCTTGGTTAGCACAGAGGCAAAACAGAGTAGTGTGAGAGGGAAGCCATCTGATTTTTCTTACTTTGGTCCAATGATGATGGACGTCCATGGTTCCTAGCATCACGTGACCCACTGCGCTCATGCCTGAGCGGTCTGTAAATACCAGGGTGCAGCCTGGAGGCAGAACACAAAGCCTTTTGTTATGGCTGGCAGAGAAGCCAAAAGGTCAGTTTTCTGCCTCTGGTTTGTGTTTATTTATTTTTTTGATGCAGATACTGGGGCTTAAGCTTAAAAAGAGTCTGGCATTTCTCTTTGGCTTGTCATTCCAGGCTAGCATTCTACCACTGGGGTGCCACCGGTCTCCTTTCAGCATTTTTGGTGGTTCACTGGAGATTGAGAGTCTCATGCTGGCCTCCAACTGCGATCCTCAGATCTCAGCCTCCTGAGCAGCTAGGCTGGCGGGGGTGGTCAGGTACCGGTGTCTTGGTCTAAATGACATTTTGAAGAGCGTGGAAAACGGTTACCTTTTGCTTTCTGCAGGGTTTCCAAGTTCTGCTGGGCCAGGCGGCCTAGACTATGCAGCTGGCTACAGCGATGGGCGATTCCCCAGCCTCTCTGCCATCTATGCCAACAAACATAGGTGCGTCAGGAGCAGTATCCCCATGGGATGATGGCGGTTCTCCCCCTCACTGCTGGACTCCTGACAGCCTGTGCCTTTCTGTCACACTCCACTTTTTTGGGGGAGGGGGTGCTTTATTTTTTTGGTCAGTCATGGAGCTTGAACTCTGGGCCTGGGCGCTGTCCCTCAGCTCTTCAGCTCAAGACGAGTGCTCTACCACTTGAGCCTCAGCGCCACTTCCATTTCTTGGGAGATAAGTATCTCATAGTGTTTCTTGCCTGGGCTGGCTTGGAGCCATGATCCTCAGATCTCAGCCTCCTGAGTAGCTAGGATGGCAGGTGTGAGCCACCAGAGCCCATCTACTAGTGGCCTTTTACATTCAAACACCTGGGGGCTGGGAAGGTGGCTCAGTGGTAGAGTGCTTGCCTTGCATGTCTGAAGCCCTGGGTTCGATTCCTCAGAACCACATACACAAAGGAAGCCAGAAGTGGCGTTTGACTCAAGTGATGAGTGCTAGCCTTGAGCAAAAAGAAGTTCAGGGACAGCACCCAAGCCCTGAGTTTCAAGCCCCAGGACTGGCCAAGAAAAAAAAATTCAAATACCCATCTGGATGTAATATAATTAGTGAATGTGTGTTTGTGTGTATGTGTGTGTGTGTACAAATATACACACACATTCATACACATATACATATTAAACTTGTTAAATATTACAATTTGTTTAAAGATTTAATATATAAGTTTAATAAATATATTAAGCATATATAAATTAAATATATTAAATATAATTATATATCTATAAATGCTAGGTATATGTGGAAAAAGGTTAGGCTTTGGTTGTAGGTAATTTATGTGTATTTTAATCTATACATATGGTTCTCTTTACTTTTTTTTTCAGTTGTGGGGCTTGAACTCAGGGCCTGGGCACTGTCCCTGTACTCATTTGTTCAAGGCTAGTGCTCTACCACTTTAAGCCACAGCTCCACTTCCTTTTTTTTTTTTTGGTGGTTCATTGGAGATCAGAGTCTCACAAACTTTTCTGCTTGGCCTGGCTTTGAACAGCAATCCTTAGATGTCAGCCTCCTGAGCAGCTAGGATGACAGGCGTGAGCCACCTGTACCTGGCTAGGTTCTCTTCTTTATTACCTGATATCTGACAGTTCCAACAAGTGACAGAGTTCGTCTTTTAAACGATCTAGTTCTTTCCTGAGTGGCAAACTATTGTTCAGCTTCTTAATGGCACTTTTTCCATTGTTATCTAGCCAGGATCTAGAAAGAAAGAACAGAGATACAGACTTTGCAGTGGTAACTATGGTGTAACACTTCTCCTGTTAGAAGACCTCCATGAATCCCAGATCTCAGGGGGCTGAGATCTGAGGATCATGGTTCAAAGACAGCCTGGAGGGCTGGGAAGGTGGCTCAGTGGTAGAGTGCTTGCCTAGCATGCATGAGGCCCTGGGTTTGATTCCTCAGCACCACATAAGCAGAAAAAGCTGGAAGTGGCGCTGTGGCTCAAGTGGTAGAGCGCTAACCTTGAGCTGAAGAGCTGAGGGACAGTGCCCAGGCCCAGAGTTCAGGCCCACAACTGACAAAAAAAAACCCCAAAAACCCCAAAGATAGTCTGGACAAGAAAGTCTGTGAGACTCTTCTCTCCAATTAACCAGTAAACAAGCTGGAACTGGAGCTGTGGTCCAAGTGGTAGAGACCAGCCTTGAAAGGAAAAGCCTAGGGCAAGCATGCAGCTCCAGCTCCAGCATTGGTGTGTGTGTGTGTACATGCACACATGCGCATGCACACACACATTTTTTTTGTTGGTGGTGGTGTTGGTCATGGGGCTTGAACTCTGGGCCTGAGGGCTGTCCCTCAGCTCTTCAGCTCAAGACTAGCGCTCTACCACTTGAGCCACAGCGCCACTTCTGGTTTTCTGGTGGTTTATTAGAGGTAAGAGTTTCACAGCCTTTCCTGCCCGGACTGGCTTTGAAACGCGATCCTCAGATCTCAGCCTCCTTAGTAGGTAGGATGACAGGCGTGAGCCACTGGAGCCTGGTTCACATGTTCTCTTATAGCAGCTAGCAGCTCTAAAGTTACGATGAGTTCTCAAACTTTGGACATTTTTTTAGTTGGTTGTAGAGCTTGAACTCAGGGCCTGGGCTCTTGTGTTCAAGGCTAGTGCTGTACTACTTTGAGCCACAGCTCCAGTTCCAGTTTTCAGGTGGTTCTCTGGACACAAGAGTCTCACAGGGCTGGATGTGAACCATGATTTTCAGGTCTCAGCCTCCTGAGTAGCTAGGATGACAGGTGTGAGCCACCAGCACCTGCCTGATTCTAGCAACTTTAAATGAAACAGTTTTTTTTCCCCCCTCTCCATAATGGTTACTGGAGTGATAAAATTAACTAGGGTGACTTTTCCTGCAAATTAAGCTTTGGTTTTTAACATAAACTACCAACAGCAGTGTAGTTAAATGACGCTGTGTACATACGTGAGGGTTGTTTCCATTCTGGAGACTTGATAGAGGTCTTCATCCGGGTCCTTGAATCCAGTGAAGGAGTAATATGACTTGTCCCATTTGATGGGCCTGCTGGGAGTCCTTTTGCCTTCTCTGATAGGCTGCGAGTATACATTAGTGTTCGAGCTTTGGATATGTTTGGCAGATAAATTGCAGGAGTTGAGAATATACAATACGGTGCTTAGCAGATCTCTGGTATGCAAGGTAAACTGGACGGCTCGAAACCCTACAATAGAATTCCCCGCCCCGGGCAAACAATTAATACAGATGGTTATTTGCTTTGCTTTACCAAGAATTTTCTTTCTTTTTGATTGCCGGTCCTGACGCTTGAACTCTAGGCCTTTTGTGTTCAAGGCTGGCTTTTTCTGTGATTAATTGGCAATAAGAGTCTCATGGACTTTTCTGCCCAGGCTGGCTTTGAACCATACCCCTCAGATCTCAGCCTCCTGAGTAGCTAGGATTACAGGCGTGAGCCACCAGCGCCCGGCTGTCCCTCAGCTTTTATGCTCAAAGCTAACACTCTATTCCCGCCCCCAACACTGAGTTCAAGCCCGTGTGGGACTTGAACTCAGGGCCTGGGCGCTGTCCCTGAGCTTCTTTGGCTCAAGGCTAGGACTCTATCACTTAAGCCACAGCACTGCTTCCAGCTTTTTCTGTTTTATTTGGTACTGAGGAATTATACCCATGGCTTCCTGCATGCTAGGCAAGTACTCTACCACTACGCCACCTTCCCAGCCCTCCAAAATCATTCTGTAAGGAATTCATTGCACACAGGGCTGGCAAGAGACACACAGTGGAAACTGAAAAATGTACCGGAAGTACTGAAGGCTTCCGGGCTATCAGATGGGTTCTGGTCTGTTTCTCTTACATAAAAGGTAAGCTGAGTTGGTTTCAAAGACTTGAAGCCTGGTTTCTGGAGGTTTTCTAAGTAGACACTTAATCTCTTCAGAGAATTTTCATTGACTTCCTGGAAAAAATACATATAATAGGGTGTTTAAGCACAAAATACAGAAATTATATTTGGCAAGCCAGGCGCTGTGGTGCACACCTGTAATCCTAGCTACTCAGAATACTGAGATCTGAGGATCATGGTTCATAGTCAGCAGGGGCAGAAAAGTCTGGGAGACTTTTATCTCCTATTAAGCACCAATTAAGCTGGAAATAACCTGAGACTCAGTGGGGAGAGTGCTAGCCTTGAGCAAAAAATGCTCAGGGACGCAGCACACACACACAAAAGTTTTATTTGCTTGCCTAGCATGCATGAAGCCCTGGGTTCGATTCCTCAGCACCACATACACAGAAAAAGCTGGAAGTGGCGCTGTGGCTCAAGTGGTAGAGCGCTAGCATTGAGCCAAAGAAGCTCAGGGACAGTGCCCAGGCCCTGAGTTCAAGCCCCAGGACTGGAGAAAAAAACTGTTGTTATAAGGCTGTTGTACAGAGTGGGTGTAGTTATGTAAGTCAGATAATGAGTATATTTCTTTTTGGACAATGTTACCCTTTTCCCTCTCTTGCTCTCTTCCAGTTTTTCCCTCCTGTCTCCACCCACAAACTTATAGTGCATTTTTCATAGTCTATTGAGTTCCACTGCATTTGTTCACCCTTTAGCATTTTTCTTTTTCTTTCTTTTTGGCCAGTCCTGGGGCTTGAACTCAGGGCTTGGGCACCGTCCCTGAGCTTCTTTTTGCTCAAGGTTAGTGTTCTACCACTTGAGCCACAGCACCATTCCCAGCTTTTTCTGAATAGTTTATTGGAGATAAGAGTCTCCCTGACTTTCTGGCTTCAGCTGGCTTCCTTCCAACTGTGATCCTTAGCTCTCAGCCTCCTGAGAATTTAAGGCTACAGGTGTGAACCATGAGTGCTGGCCTGTGCTAGTTATTAATTTGAAATCTTACTAGTTTTCAAGTTAGTACTTTCTAGATTTACTAGGTAAGCACTCATCACATGGGGCACATCCCAGCCCTTTGGAACAGGAACAGAAACGTAGACAACAAGGTTCGTTTTTTTAATTAAAAAATTTTTTAAAAAATGTTTTACCCTTTCTCTGGGGTGTTTTCCAAAGAAATCTGGATGGACTGCAAAATAGAAAGGTCTCAGGGCATTGATTGCTTCAGCTCCAGATAAAGCTCTTGAGTAATGAAACCAGTGTGGAAGTATCCTTTCTACCGAGAACCTGTCAAAAACACGTGGTTTGGTTATTCTCTCAGCATAGCTACACATCCCTCACGTAGGAAATGACATTCAAGTTAAAAGTACTATGCATAGGGTGTCTGTGGCTCATGCCTGTCATTCTAGCTACTCAGGAGGCTGACCTCTGAGGATCACAGTTCAACGCCAGCCTGGGCAGCAAAGTCTGAGAGACTCTTACCTCCAAAGAACCACCAGAAAACTCAAGTGGAGCTGTGGCTCAAGTGATAGAGTGCTAGCCTTGAGCGAAAAGGTTAAGGGTCAGTGCCTAGGCCCTGAGTTCAAGCCCCAAAAGCACACACACCCACAAATATTGGGAGTTTTTGAAATCTAGCAGTGGTTATTAATTACCCTGATGCAATCTCAGCAATACTAGAAAACAAAATTTCCCCTCATGGTCCTCTTTGTATTACTAACTTGTTTCACTACAAATGATGACCATATTCTTTGGGACAAGAAAAGTCTATTTTTGTTGGGCGCTGGTGGCTCACACTTGTAATTCTAGCTACTCACGAGGGTAGTATCTGAGGATCATGGTTCAAAGCCAGCCCAGGCAGGAAAGTCCATGAGACTCTTTATCTCCCATAAACCTTCAGAAAATCAGAAGTGGAGCTGTAGCTCAAAGTGGCAGAGTACTAGCCTTGAGTGAAAAGAGCTCAGAGACAGTGCCCAGGTTCTGAGTTCAATCCCTACTGCTGACGAGAAAAAAAAAAAAAAAGTCTGTTTTGCTTTCCTCTATATCCAGTAGTGAAAAAAAATTTTGTTTTGAAATGGTGTCTTGGGTGTCTTGTTTATGCAATCCAGGCTGGCCTTCAATTCTCCTGCCTCCGTCCCCTGAGTGCTTGGATTACAGTGTGTACCACCCATGCCTGGCTGTAGTGGAAAGTATCTTGATAATCATAATATATAAGAAGAGCTGGAGAATTATAGTTGATTCCTTCATTATTAGCATGACAATGTTCTAGTTAGTACTTGACATTCTCCTTTTTAAATTTTGGTCCAACACCTATGAAATACTATTAAAATTATACTTATCTCCCCCAATGAAACAAAAATGCAGATTTTGTGGTGTGTGTGTGTATGTGTTTGTGTGTGTGTGTATACACCAGTCCTGTGGCTTGAATTCAGGGCCTACGTGCTGTCCCTAAGCTTTATTTCCCTCCCAACAAATCTAGTGCTCTACCACTTTGAGCCACAACTCCACTTCTAGTTTTCTGGAGGTTCATAGGAGAGTAGAGGTGCATGGATTTTCCTGCCTGAGCTGGCTTCAAACTGCAATCCTCAGATTTCAGCTTCCTTGAATAGCTGAGATTAAAGGTATGAACCTGGTGACATCATTATTTTTTCCAGCTCCTAGGCCTTGAATTCAGGGCCTGGGTACTGTCCCTGAGCTGCTTTTGCTCAAGGCTAACACTCTACCACTTGAGTCACAGCACCACTTCCAGCTTTTTCTGTTTATGTGGTACTTAGGAATCGAACCCAGGGAGGGCTTTATGCATACTAGCCCAGCACTCTACCACTAAGTCACGTTCCCAGCCCTATCCCTATCCCTGCTTTGAATGGACTCTTAGAAGACCTGGTTGCTCCTATGAATTTTCTCTTCTTTTTTCTAAATTCCTGCCTTCTGCTATAATGTAAAACAGCTGTAGAATTTAAACGATAACTGACTCAATGTATAGTTGAAACCCCCCGTACTCCATATGGATTGTATCATAGCTTACCTTGTCAGAGGCCTCAGGCAAAACATCGCTGAATATATGTGTGTATCAACTTCCAGGCATCCATCAATTGCCTATAAAATTAAGCAGATACCACAATTAAGCAGTACTCTACATTACACCCCCTCCTGGAGTGAATTATTTAGGAATGTGATAAAAACATGAGCAAAATATATGTGGAAAACTACAGAGGTCTGACAGAAGAGATCAAAGAACCAAATAGACATTCCCTTATTCATAGATATGAAGACTCAATATTGTCAAGATGTCACTTCTTTTCTTCCATACAATCTTAATATTTCATGGTCACTTGGTGGATATCAACAAATGGATTATTTTTTGGGTGTGGTACTATTATTTTTTGTGTGCTGGTGGTAGAGTTTGAACTTAGAACCTAGGCGCTGTCCCTTAGCTTTTTTTGCTCAAGGCTAGTGCTCTGCCACTTGAGCCACAGCTCTACTTCTGACTTTTTGCTTGTTAATTGGATTATAAGTGTTCTTGCAGACTTTCCTATCTGAGCTGGCTTCAAACCATGATCCTCAGATATCTGCGTCCTGAATGGCTAAGATTATAGAAAAGAGCTACGGAGCACCTGGCTCCAACAGATTTTTAAGTTTCTATGGAGCTACAAAAGATCCAGGCTGGGTACTGGTAGCTCCTGTCTGTGCCACATTCCTTGTTCTTCTTACCAGTTTCAGTTACAGAACATAGATTGTGAAAAAGACAGCACAGACTTTCTTGAATTAAAAAGAAGGCTAAAGCCAAGAACCAGTAGCTCTGGTCTGCAATTCTAACTACTCAGGAGGCTGAGATCTGAGGATTCTTGTTCAAGGCCAGCCCATACAGCAAAGTCTGTGAGATTCTTATCTCCCATTAAGCACCCAAAAGCCAGAAGTGGAATATGGCTCAAAGTGGTAGAGCACTAGCTGACAAAAACAACAACAACAACAAACAAACAAGAAACAATAAAAGAAGGCTAAAGCCAGGTGCCAGTACTCACATCTGTAATCCTAGCTACTCAGGAGACTGAGATCTGAGGATGGTGGTTCAAAGCCAGTCTGGGCAGGAAAGTCTGTGAGACTCTTATCTCCAATGACTGAAAGTGGTAGAGTGTTAGGCTTGAGTGAAAAAGCTCAAGGACAGGCCTTCAGTTCAAGCCCCAGGACTGGCACCCCCACACACAAAAATTAAATCTGCACTGTCTCAAAGAAAAATGGGGGGTGGGAATATATCTAAATTAGTGATAAATTTAAATGGTAGAAGAGTGTAAGAAAAAATGTTTTCCTTTGCTTAATACTTCTGACAAATCCAGAAATAGTTCTTGACAAGTAGAAGTCCCAAGATTGAGCTTTGGCCTTTTGGCACAATTTTATTTGAAAGTAGCTTATTGGAAACAAACAGAATCTCAGATTACTTTCCTTTAACATGTAACTTTCACTTAGTAATTATCTTACACGGCTAAAAAAGAATGTGTTCCAATCAGAGCAGCTGTTTGTGTGTGTGTCAGGGGAGGTAACTGGGGTTCACACTTAGGATTTGGACGCTGTCAGCCTTTTTGCTCAAGGTTGGCAATCTACCACTTGAACCACAGCTCCACTTTCAGCTTTTTGCTGGCTAATTGGAGATAAGAATCTCCTGGACTTTCCTGTCCCAGCAACTTGATTCTCAGATCTCAGCTTCTCACAGTACTTGGAATGACAGGATTGCTTTTTTTTTTTGGCCAGTCCTGGGGCTTGAACTCAGGGCCTGGGCACTGTCCCTGAGCTGCTTTTGCTCAAGGCTAGCACTCTACCACTTGAGCCACAGTACCACTTCTGGCCTTTTCTGTCTGTGTGGTCCTGAGAAATCGAATCTGGGTCTTCATGCGTGCTAGACAAGCTCTCTATCACTAAGTCACCTTCCCCGCCCTGCAATTACTTAGGAGGGATATTTGTTAGGGGTGGTGGGTTAAGTGGGGAGGGGGACCAAACCAAAGAAAACCTCCCCCAAAACATCCCCCCCCAAAAAAAAACTAGGCAAGCAAAAGTATCAAAAGCAGAAATCGTATTCAAGAAACTCACACCACTTTTGTTGCTTCCTTTTTTTGTTTTTTGTGTTTTTTTTTTTTTTTTGGTATATCACTTGCTGGGGTTTCAAGTCCTGACAACTTGAGGTCACAGGTCAAAAAGCTTTGGGGAGGGGAAAAAACAGTAACAGTCAGAAACAATACAACCCTAGAAAGAAATGGTGCTACTCTATAAAGGGTTCAAGGCCAGCTCGGACAGGTGCGTGGGAGACTCCCAAAGCCCTGGCCTGGTGTCTCCCAAACTCAAGCCAATTCAAGAGGCCAAGCTGGCTCTGAAGGTTGGGTGAGGAGGGTGGGGTTAGGGTGAAGTGGGGGGGGATACACCCCTCAAACTGGGCCCCAAGGCTCTGGTGGGAGCCCCCCCCCACCTCTCCCTCCCACGCTTTACAGTTCAGGCCGGACGCCAAAGTCTGGGGGGGCGGGAAGGGGGGGTCAGTTTGACCTGTTTCACCTCCCAGACTTTTCCAGAAGGAAAAAGGAAGGCCGCTTCCCTTCCCTCCCCCGCTCCCTCCAGCCAGGTTTGGGGGGGGGACGACCACAGCATGCCCAACACACCCTCGCCTCACCTCACAGAAGCGCGGACCCCCCCAAAATAGATCTCTCAGCTTTGTCCCCTCCCCGCCCCACTTCGGCGCGACCTTCGGCCGAGAGAGCAGACAAGTGTGTGCGGCGTGCGCGTCTGTGTGTGTGGGAGGGCAGGCAGCGGGGGCGGAGCCTGCACCGCGCGCGCTGATTGGCTACCGCGTGCCGGGCCTTCCTCCTCCGGCGCCTGCGCGCGCGCTGAGGGGCGGGTCCCGGGGGCGTGGTGGTGGTGGGGGAGGCGGGGAGAGGGAAGGTCTCGCGCTGACGTCAGGTTCCCGCGAGCGCTCACATTTCCCCCCCCACTCGCCCCCGCGGTGTTTTGAAGTTCGCGGCTTCTGGACCGGATATTTCCCCTGAAGAGAGACGCTCCGCCTGGACGCTTTCGTCGACGCCCGTGGAGGGAAGCGGTAGAGGGAGTCGGAAGATGATTGGCAGGCAAGGTTTGCCAGAGGACTCCCCGCCCCTCCACTCCCACCCAGAGCGCGCTCCGCCGGCGGCGGTGGGAGTGGCGGGGCGGACCCCCTCTGCGCGCGAGTGCGCGTGCGCCGGCCTTGCGCATGCGCGAGGCCTTAGTGAAGAGGCCGCCTTTCTTCCCCCCCCCTCCGGCTCACGCGCATGCGCGCGGTGTTCCGCCAGCTCTGCTTGGGAGTCCATTTGGGGGCCGGGCTTTGCAGGTCTGTTTGCAGGCTTAGTCAGCCACTTGGTATGTTCCCGTTCGTCGTTTTCCTCATATAGTTTGTGTGTGTGTGTGTGTGTGCCAGTCCTGGGGCTTGAACTCGGCCTGAGCACTGTCCCTGAGCTGCTTTTGCTCAAGGCTAGCACTCTCCCACTAGAGCCACACAGCGCCACTTCTGGCTTTTTCTGTGTATGTGGTACTGAGGAATCGAACCCAGGGCTTCATGCATGCTAGGCAAGCACTCTACCACTAGGCCACATTTCCATCCCCATCCAATATATTTCATTGTTGGGAAACTATGACCTCACTGGAAGTCAATAAAGAACAAAAACTCAATACAGTGAGTGCTCTTTATTTTTATTGTTTTATTTTCAACAATGATTATTGGAACTTAAAAAAAAAAACAACCCACGAAACCAACAACTCAGCCCTTCGATGCCTAACAGTTAGTGAAAAGCCATACCTTCCCAGCCCATTTCATGTTCTCTTTCAGCCACTTCAGGGCTGAACAGTTTTCCAAACTGTAAACTTGCTCCTTGTTCACGTTGACGGTCATGTGCTTAATGAAGAGCTTGGGGTCTGATATGCGGGCGGCTGTTATTAACCTTTCCACTGCAGCCTGGTAGTCATCCTTGCTTCGAGATTTGTTTTCTTCACATCTGTAAAGTGAACACCTCCCAAACTCAGAAACTTTTATTTTTTGCCAGTCCTTGAACTCAGGACCTGGGTGCTGTCCCTGAGCTTCTTTTGCTCAAGGCTAGCACTCTACGTCTTGAACCACAGCACCATTTCTGGCTTTTTTTGTGTATGTGATGCTGAGGAATTGAACTCAGGGCTTCATGCATGCTAGACAAGCACTCCACCACTAAGCCACTTTCCCAGCCCTAGAAAGCTCTATCTAAAAGGCAGCAAAAGGGTTTCTTCTAGAGTCCCTTGTATTTACTATTTCCACACTATTAGTCTTTTCACCATGTTCTTTTAGCAGTGGCTTTTGTTTTTTTTTATTCACTTAAAAAAATATTTTATCATTCAGGTGTTGTACAGCGGGGTTACCATTGTATAAGTCAGGTAATGAGTATCTTTATGACAATATCACCCTTTTTGCATTTTTTATGCTTTATGTGTGTGCCAGTCCTGGGGCTTGAACTCAGGGCCTGGGTGCTATTCCTGAGCTTTTTTGCTCAAGGCTAGCGCTCTACCACTTAGGCTCAGGCTCATTTCTGCCTTTTTTGTGCAATTATAATCAATCTCATGGCCTTTTCTGCCCAGGCCAGCTTTGAACTACCATCATCAGATCTCAGCCTCCAAAGTAGCTAGGATTAAAGGCATGAGCCTGTAATTTTAAAATATAGAAATAAGCCTCACTGATGCTTTTCTTTTCAATAGTTTTTTTCTTGTCAGTCATGGGGGGTGAACTTTGGGCCTGGGCACTGTCCCTCAGCTCTTCAGCTCAAGGTGAGCACTCTACCACTTGAGTCACAGCACCACTTCTGTCTTTTTCTGCTTATGTGGTGCTGAGAAGTTGAACCCAGGGCCTCATGCGTGCAAGGCAAGCACTCTACCACTGAGTCACCTTCCCAGCCCCTCAACAGTATTTTTGAATGAACCTAATAAACTATACCTTTAGACCTGCTCCTTAGAGCTTTTGGGGTGAACAAAAAGATAAAGACCTTTTTAGTACCAAACTACACAAGAAAGGTTGAACATTCAGTAACATATTTGAAGTCATGAAAGTGTTTATTGAATGCCACTTGTTTGGTTTTTATTTCTTAGTAATGTTGGAAATAAAATCCAGGGCCTTACATACACTAAGCAAATACTCTACCATTGAGTTTATTACCTTAGCATCTTAAATTGTTTGGTTTTAAGCTTCAAATATGTCTCTTTCTCAATGTAAATGTAACCAAGCTTGTAACATGTACATAAAGTATATATACATATTTACACAAACACAATCACATACATAACCTAGGGCAGACATACTCTACCTTCACGGAGTACAGTTAAAGTTATTACCAGGGCTGGGAATGTGGCTTAGTGGTAGAGTGCTTGCCTAGAAAGCATGAAGCCCTGGGTTCGATTCCTCAGCACCACATACACAGAAAAAGCCGAAGTGGTGCTGTGTGGCTCAAGTGGTAGAGTGCTCATCTTGAGCTAAAGAGCTGAGAGACAGCGCCCATGCTCAGAGTTCAGGCCCCACAACTGACAAGTTATTACCAGGGCTGGGAATGTGACAGTGGTAGAGTGCTCACCGAGCATGCATGAAGCCCTGGGTTGATTCTTCAGTACCACATGAACAGAAAAAGCCGGAAGTGGCACTGTGTGGTTCAAGTGGTAGAGTGCTAGCCTTGAACAAAAGAAGTTCGGGGAGAGAGCCCAGGCCCTGGATTTAAGTCCCAGGATTGGCAAAAAAAAAAGAAAGAAAAAAGAAAAAAAGTTATCAACAAACCTTTTCAAAACTATCTGTAGCATCTGTGTAGATGGTCCAGGACTTTGAATACTACTAGCGTTAGAGACCAGAAAGATTTCGATAGCTAAAAGCATTTCAATCTCAGATAAATACGATGGAATCAGTAGAAGCTTTCTGTATAAATTTCCCTCTAATGGTGGATAACATCCTAAAGAAAGAGCACCTGAAAATTAAATAACAGGTAAAAGTTTACTAAAACCCCAATAGATATAAACCTAAATTTCCAAAATAGTTACAGTGACCATTTGAGTGAAGAAGAGACAGTGCTCAGGGCCCTGAGTTCAAGCCTCAGGCCTGGCACACACACAGTGATTGGAAACAAAAGAGAAATAACATTTTAACAACAAAAAAAAAACCAGTTCTATTTATCAACTTATTTTTTACACATTTAAAGAATTTTAAAGATGGATCTTGGGAAATAAAATTCAAAACCAATAGATAGCCAATGAAAAACATCTGAAATGGAACGTACTTTTGTAGTGGGTTCTAGCTTTGAGCCATAAACAGCTCCTTCCTAAAGAAGTAATTAATCTTCTGAGGAAGGAGAACTCAATTGGAATACTCTTTGTCATCATGAATTCTGCCACCGAAGATGACATGCCAAGACTGTTGCTTTCTATGCAGGCATCAAGAAGTTTATTAAAAAGAAGGCTGTACTGGGATATCTCCATAGTTTCTGAAATGAAGAAGATGAAAAAAAACAACAACTGTTTGGCTTTTTGATCTTGGAGATTGAACCCAGGATGTTACTAGGCAAGTGCTTTGCCACTAAACTATATCTCAGCCCGGAAAAAAAAAAAGTGTTTTTTTATGGTTATTATTACTATTTTTTTTGGTGGTGGTGGTAAAACTAACCTATGTTGGTCTTTCAAATTTCTTTTTTTTTTCTTTATCCTTTGGCTTCCTTGGCCTTTCTTGTGTGCCAAAGAAGTTACAGCCACTAAAGTGTAATTTTCTTAATTTTTTTTTTTTTTTTTGTCAGTTGTGGGGCTTGTACTCTGGGCCCAGGCGCTGTCCCTGCGCTCTTCAGCTCAAGGCTAGCGCTCTACCGCTTGAGCCAGAGCACCACTTCTGGTTTTCTAGTGGCTTATTGGAGATAAGAATCTCATGGATTTTCCTGCCAGGGCTGGCTTTGAACCGTGATCCTCAGATCTCAGCCTCTGCAGTAGCTAGGATTATAGGCATGAGCCACTGGCACCCGGCTCTTAATGTATTTTCTTTTTTTTTTGGTCTGGTTGTGGGGACTGAACTCTGGGCCTGAGCACTGTCCCTCAGCTCTTCAGCTCAAGGCTAGCGCCTCTACCACTTGAGCCACAGCGCCACTTCTGGCTTTTTTCTTTTTGCTTATGTGGTGCTGAGGAATCAAACCCAGGGCCTCAGGCATGCAAGGCAAGCGCTCTACCACTGAGCCACCTTCCCAGCCCCTCTTAATGTATTTTCTAAGGAAGAAACTAAAAAGCTTTGACAAAATCCAAACTGTTTTCTTTCCTTTATGAGGGACAATGTGAAAAGAAGTTCCTTCCTCCCAGATTTCAAAAGTTGTTTAGATGTTTGTGTTCAGGTACAAATTCATATTTGCTTGTCTTGAATAATTTCATGTTGTTTTCAGTAACTTCAGCCTTCTTGGATTTGCCCATGACTATAACTAAATCAAGTCTTTAAAGATCTCTCAATGAAGCCTTGTGCTGGTGGCTCACACCTATAACCCTACCTCCTCAGGAGGCTGAGATCTGAAGATCCCTGTTCAAAGCCAGTCTGGGTAGAAAAGTCTGTATTCCTACTTTTTTATTGTTTGCCCATCTTGGGGCTTGAACTCAGGGCCTGGGTGCTGTCCTTGAGTCTCTTTGTGCTCAAGGCTAGCACTCTACCACTTTGAACCACAGTGATACTTTCAGCTTTTTCTGAGTCATTTATTGGAGATAGAGTCTTACAGACTTTCCTGCCTGGGCTGGCTTTGAACTGGGATCCTCAGATCACAGTCTCCTGAGTAGCTAGGGTTATATGCATGAGCCAGCAGCGCCCAACTCTTTGCTCTTAAAGGAGTGAGAAGTTATCTTGGAGACATCCAACTTTCTTCCCTTTCTTCGGTGGGGTTGTCTAAGGCTCTAGGTCTTCATTGCTGTAGGATGTCTCAGTGAGCTTATTATGCAATGAATCTCTTCACTTTTCCCATTAGAGGAATTTATTAGTTTACTCTTCTCAGGTCTCTCTTTTTTTCTTTGTCGGTCATAGGGCTTGAACTCTGGGCCTGAGTGCTGTCCCTCAGCTCTTCAGCTCAAGGCAAGCGCTCTACCACTTGAGCTACAGCCCCACTTCCGGTTTTCTGGTGGTTTATTGGAGATAAAGCGTTTCACGGACTTTCCTGCCTGGGCTGGCTTTGAACCTCGATCCTCAAATCTCAGCCTCCTGAGTAGCTGGCTTCTCAGATCTCATTATGAATAGCCCTCATTACACACAAAGACAACTCTGTTAGTCTGTTATTTAGGGTCTTCCAAAATCTGGCATATCTGTCTATCTGTCTTGGTCAGATCAATCGAGTTCTATCTGTCTGTCTATCTATTTAGAACTGGCATGCAAGTATGTGCCCATGTGCAAGTATACAGACACAGACTCACTTAAAATGGTCACTCCGTTTCATTACCAATGCAGTCCTCTATATTAAGGGCCTGCTGAATCAAGATTAAAAAAAAAAATCTACCATGAAGGTACTGACAAGAAGCATGCTAATCATAGTAACGGCATCTGTAGAATAGGAAAATGGAGATTTATAGGATATGATACAAGCCCAGTCCTCAGCTGAATATTTTCATGGTCTCACAGCTAATTTCTGACCCAAATTTTGCTCCCCAACTATGACGGAAGCCTTAACCTGAAAGACTCCATATGCCGTGGCCCGTGGTGGTGCTCTGCCTTCCACCCCGTCATCTCTTATTTCCCCCATGGATTCCAAGTTCCATAGCTTCACCACTAGGAGGAAACTTAGCTTCATTCTCTTATTACAGTGAGTTCTTTTAAGTTCTTGCCAGGGATCCCTGAACTCATCTTGGGCTGCTGACCTCACGAGAGCTAGGCAAAGGATATGAGGAAAATGTCGACCAACAACTGGAAGAGAAAAGCATTTCTGATTTGGAAGCCACCAGGAAGCCATTGTTTAATTTGCAAGAGAACACTTTTTAGGAAATGACTTTGCAGGAAAATATATAGAAACCCCAAACCCAACAGGTGGAGAACTATATTCTTATTAACCAACACCAGATGGGCAAAGATAAGCGAGGCGTTTGAAAAACATACCTTGGGAATTCAGAAAACCTGGAAGGTTCTGCAAAACCTCAAATGTCTGTCTGTAAAGGCTCTTGGCCAGCACTTCATGTGCAATTGTGCACAGCAGGTTATGTCGATTAAGCACATCAAATCTGTCACATGGCCAGAGGGGTGTGTTGATGATCCATTCTGATTCTTCAGAAACAAAACAAAAACAAATGCTTTATACTGTGAACTCACAGAAGGGGCAAAGCTTAAATGTGGGTCATGAGAGCAACTTGAGACTGGTGATCACGATTCTATTATCCCACAACTACTAGCCACTTTGCTATAGTTTCATTTTTGTATTTTTGGGGTTTTTTTGGTTGCTCTTAGGGCTTGAACTCTGGGCCTGGGCACTGTCCCTGAGCTTTTTTTTTTGCTTAAGGCTGGTAATTAATTTGGAGATAAAGAGTCTCTCAGTCTTTCCTGTGACTGGCTTCAAACTGTGATCCTCAGAACCCAGCCTCCTGAGTAGCTAGGATGACAGGCGTGAGCCACCAGTGCCCTGGCTGTTATAATTAAGACAGTGTTCTAGACAGTATTGATTCTAAGGTTAATCCTTGTTGTATTTTTTTGTTTGTTGTGGGACTTGAACTCAGGGCTTGGGCCTGTCCCTGAGCCTCTTTGTGCTTAAGGCTAGCACACTACCATTTGAGCCACAGTGCCACTTGTTTTCTTGAGTAGTTAATTGGAGGTAAGATTCTCAAGGGGACTTTTCTGCCTGGGCTGGCTTTGAACTGTGATCCTCTGATCTCAGCTTCCCGAGTAGCTAGGATTACACAGGTGTGAGCCACTGGTGCCTGGCTTAACCCTTATTTTTATACAACAAAGTTTGATTATATAGTGACTATATAGTGAATATAGTGCTTTAACATAAAATACTTGAGTGGACAAGTTCAGTGATCCCAGCCAGCTACCCGGGGCAGAGAGCAGGAGAATTACAGTTTGAGGCCAGCCCAGGCAAAAAGATAGTGAGAATTCCATCTCATTTTAATCAGTAAGGGGAGCCTTCTTGGTTTGAGATTTTTACCAAATCATCTATCTGTATTTTTAAAAGAATGTAAATAAGTTGATTATTTTATGTACCAAAGCAAACAAACTGATCATGGGGAGTTTGAACGTTTGGGCTGGCGAGCTGGGAAGGTGACTCAGTGGTAGAGTGCTCGCCTAGCATGCAGGAAGCCCTGGGTTTGATTCCTCAGTACCACATACACAGAAAAAGCCGGAAGTGGCACTGTGGCTCAAGTGGTAGAGTGCTAGCTTTGAGCAAAAGCAGCTCAGGGACAGCGCCCAGGCCCAGAGTTCAAGCACCAGGACTGGCAAAAAAGAAAACAAAACATAAAAAAAACCTTTTGGGCTGGGATGTAGCTTAGTGGCCAAGCAAGTGCACAATGTCCAGTACCAAAAAAAAGACCTTTTAATTTAATCTACTTAGTTCACAACTTTACCATGACATGTTTATGAAACATAGGTTTTCAGATGAGGATTGGAATAGAAGTTTATTAGTATACTTAACACTAATTTTAGAGTAATAAAAGCTAATCATCTACTTTCACGCTTGATTCAATTCTTGGTAAATCTCTGCCATTTGTTTATTACCTCAGAATCAAAATGTAAGGGGATTTTCTGTAAGAGTCATTCTTTTTTGTTGTTGTTGGTTGTGGGGCTTGAACTCCAGGTTTGGGCACTGTCCCTGAGTTTTTTTGCTCAAGACTAGAGAGCTGTATCACTTTGAGGCACACCTCTGCTTCTGGCATTTCGGTGATTAAGAGTCTCATGGACTTTCCTGCTTGAGCTGGCTTTAAACTGGAATCCTCAAATCTCAGCTTTCTGAGAAGCTAGGATGGTAGGCATGAGCCACCAGCACTTAGCTAAGAGACAGTCTTTTTTTTTTTTTATTCCAGTCCTGGGGCTTGAACTCATGGACTGAGCACTGTCCCTGAGCTTCTTTTGCTCAAGGCTAGCGCTCTACCACCTGAGCCACAGTGCCACTTCCGACTTTTTCTGTGTATGTGGTACTGAGGAATCGAACCCAGGGCTTCATGCATGTTAGGCAAACATTCTACTACTAAGCCACATTCCCAGCCCTGAATACAAAGTTCAAGGAACATAGTGGTAAATAGGAAATTCTAGGATGGCTAAAGGTATGGACTGTTGAAGCATTATACACAAGAAAAAGTACAAAATACAAAAAGTACAAAAATACAAAGGACTTAAAGAGCAGTTTGTGAAGTAGAAAAACAAAGGCAAAAGAAAAATGTAAATGTATATAATTAAGAGTTACAGGAAAGTGAAAAGTTGAGCAAATTATATAAATATCTAACAGATCAAGGGCTAGCATCTTTGGTATATAAAAACACTGCAATACAGAAAGGCATTATATATTGTGATTTTCTATCATCCATCCATCCATCCATCTATCTATCTATATATGAATGATAGGCAGCACCTGAACTAATCATCTGAGGTGTTGCCTTATTTATTAATTGTATACTTAAAAATTATGAAGATTATGTTAAATATAAAAATCAGTTATGCTGGGTGCTGGTGGCTCTTGCCTGTCATCCTAGCTACTCAGGAGGCTGAGATCTGAGGATCGTGGTTCAAAGCCAGCCTGGGCAGGAAAGTCTGTGAGACTTTTTTGTTGTTGTTGTTGGTTGGTTGTGGGGTTTGAACTTTGGGCTTGGGGACTGTCACTGCACTCTTCAGCTCAAGGCAAGTGCTCTACCTCTTGAGCTACAGTGCCACTTCCAGTTTTCTAGTGGTTTATTGGAGATAAGAGTCTCACAGACTTTCCTGCCTGGGCTGGCTTTGAATTGTGATCCTCAGATCTCAGCCTCCCGAGTAGCTAGGACTACAGGCGTGAGCTATTGGTGCCCAGCTTCTAAGAGCCTCTTTCTTATCTCCAATGAAACACCAGAAAACCAGAAGTGGCACTGTGGCTCAAGTGGTAGAATGCTAGGCTTGAGCAAAAAGAGCTCAGGCCAAGTTCAAGTAACACAACAAAAAAACAGTAACTTAAGTCTATTATTTCAGAGTTCAGCATCTACTCAAAGTGACTGCACAGATTAGAATTTATAAAAAATTAACATATATGTTTAACATACATTTAACATATACATATATATAAATACATTCTTGCATATATTAAAACTTACCCCTTAGTACCCAGAGAGCACCATCCAGGCTTCCAGTTTTTAGAAAAATCTCCGCTGCAATGTTCACAATTTGACATCTTGGTGCTAACTTTGCAGGTCCTGTAAGTCCTTTTAAACTTGTAAAGTGTATTTTTAGTTCGTATAGTTTATCTAAGACCTTTCTTCCCTAGAGTGAAAAACAGGAAGAGAAGCTGGGCAGTCATCACTTGTCACGTCAGAGGGACACAAAAAGGGCCAGAGGGCCAGTCTGCAGTCAGCGTCATCCGCCCTACACTTCTGAAGGGAGGGCAGGAAGGAAGGGGGATTTAGTAACCATAGTAACCTGCCCCTCCCAGCACCAACAGGAGGCTCTTCTCATCGAGCAACTCTGTATTCTGCTTTGTCCACTGGCCTTCCTCCCCTTCGCATTTCACTCTTGCCTTAATGCAGAAAACTACCTTTTCTCCTTTTCTGTTGTCCAGTCTGAGATACAAGAGGGAAAGACAATGGAAATGAAGATGGTGGCATCACATCTAGATAGATGCTAGCAGGAAAAAAATGATCAAAACAATTGGCTGTAAATAGTTTTTAATCTGTCTGTCTGTCTATCGTGCTTGTACTGAGCCTTGACTTCAGGGCCTTGTCAGTCAGTCACTTCTCCCTTGACTTCTCTGCTCAAAGCTGGCACTCTACCACTTGAGTCACAGCTCCACCAATGGCTTTTTTGGTGATTCACCATAGGTAAGAGTCTCATGGACTTTCCTGGCTTTGAACTGTGATCTTCAGATCTCAACCGTCTGGGTAGCTAGGATGACAAGGTGTGAGCAAGGATGACAACAGTGACTGGCGAAGCTTTTTTTTTTTTAAATTCATGCATTCTGTATACATACAAGTGGCCAGGGAATTACATGTTATTGTCCCCAGCTATGAAATGACCTCCTTAAAGAGATGAGCAGTAAGGAGATGCACAGTGTACTAGTGAGTAGTGCCACATTCCCAACTATTCTATTAACTCTGTAATTCTGCTTCCGTGTTGGATTTCCCTGCCCTCTCTCTGAACTTAATTACTGAGTGTATAACTCACTTACCACCTCAGGGAAACCTAAGGAGTAGAAAAATGGTATTATCTCAGTTACTACAAGACTACTTTCACAATGAGCTAAAGCTCAGAAAGTTACACATCAAGATGCAAGGGTATCCAGGCACTGATGGCTCATGACTATAATTGTAGCTACTCAGGAGGCTGAGATCCAAAGATCGTGGTTTGAAGCCAGCCTGGGCAGAAAAGTCCCTGTGAGACTCTTTTTTGTTGTTGTTGTTGTTGATGGTCTTGAAGCTTGAACTCTGGGCCGGGGCGCTGTCCCTCAGCTCTTCAGCTCATTGAGAGCCCTCTACCAGTTGAGCCACAGTGCCACTTCCAGTTTTCTGGTGGCTTATTGGAGATAAGAGTCTCACGGACTTTCCTGCCCAGGGCTGGCCTCGAACCGAGATCATCAGATCTCAGCCTCCTCAGTGGCTAGGATGACAGGTGTGAGCCACCAGAGGCCTTGCTCTGTGAGACTCTTATCTCCAATTAGCCACTTAAAAACCGGAAGTGGTGCTGTGGCTAAGCAGTAGAGCACTAGCCTTGAGCACTCAGGCCCTGAGTTCAAGCTCTACAACTGACCAAAAAAAAAAAAAAAAGTTATATGGATATTCTGTCCTAGAGCATTCCAAGAGGTAATTCTAAATGAGTTTTGTTGATTAATCACCCTGAATTAATCTAAGACCCATAACTTATTCACAGTATTTAAGCTAACACTCTGTGCCAATCCAAACATAAAATTTATTTTTTTTGAGGATGGTGCACTTGCTAGACAAGCAATTTGCCACTGAGCTATATTCCAACCCCAAATGTAAAATTTAATAACGTACCTTGCACCACTGCAGTAAGTGATGGTAGAAGTGCATGGTACTGATTCCAATTCTTCCCAGCAAAGTTCTGTCTACTTCACTGTGCTGTGGGTCTTTGCTAACTGAAACACAACGCAGGAATATTCAGGTCAGTGAAAGTCACTTGGGATGCCAGAAAAGGCAAATTAACATACAACTACTGTTAGACAGGACAACAAAGATAAAAGTCTGGCTTAGTATGGCTTACTGGCCAAATCTAGTCCGTTGTATATAGCCTGTGAGCTATTTGGTTTATATTTTAGAGACTTGTTTAAAAAGTAAAGCGAATAGCTGGGAATGTGGCTTGGTGGTAGAGTGCTTACCTAGCATGCATGAAACCCTGGGTTCGATTCCTCAGTACCACATACACAGAAAAAGCCATAAATTGCTCTGTGGCTCAAATGGTAGAGTGCTAGCCTTGAGCAAAAGCAGCTCAGGGACAGTGCTCAGGTCTTGAGTTCAAGCCCCAGGACTGGGGGAAAAACATCTCAAAGCCATACAAATTTTCTTGTCTTGTAGTAGTAAATATTGAACACCTCCAGTATACTGGTACAAGGTACTACTAGTTTTAACCAATGTAACTGAAAAGTAATAATAAACATCTGAAATTAAAAGCCAGTATACGGTGTTAGTGGCTCATGCCTGTAATCCTAGTGACTCAGGAGGATGAGATCTGAGGATCGCAGTTCAAAGCCAGCCCAGGCAAGAAAGTTCATGAGACTCTTATCTTCAGTTCACTACCAAAAAGCTGGAAATCAATCTGTGGATCAAAGTGGTAGAGTTCTAGCCTTGAGCAGAAAACTCAAGGATAGTGTCCAGGCCCTGAGTTCAAACCTCAGGACTTGCACATAAGAAAAACAATCATTTGCCCCAGTATAATTGTAGTTCAAGGTAACCATAAGCAGGTGGAAAAATTCATCAAGCAACCTGCCACACCAAACTCTCAGCATGGAGATTGTGAAGCGCTTTACGTCAGTGAGAATAGTACCCCTTTCAACCAACCAATACACACACCAAGACAGTGACATTTTACCTGTCTCAGCAAATTCACAAAAAGGAATCACTGGTGTTTCTTCTTTATAGTCTTTTGTGAGTGTTTCAGCGATACAAGTACAAAATCTCTGGAAATCTACAAATTTTTCGCAGCTCATTTTGATGTTAATGTATAGGTTTCCCAATTTGGTCCAGTCACATTTTTCCTTACAATCCTATCAACATTATGTTTTGGGGGGTGGTGAGGGGAAGGAAAGAAAAGAAAGGAAGAAAGAGGAAAACTGTCACTTCTGTAACATAGGTTCTAGTTCAGACACACGGATTAGCTAAGTAGAAATTAGGAGAACGTAAGGTCTAAAACAATCTTATAAGCTTTCAGACATGCATAACATCAACAGTACAGTAATAGGATACTGCTATATCTATAGTAAGTTTTCTGACTAGCAAATCTCTATGAACTTCAGATAACAACCATTTTTTTAGCGGGGGAAGGGGGGCTAGTCCTATAGCTTGAACTCAGCTTGGGCATTGTCCCTGAGCTTTTCTTTTTCCTCAAGGCTAGTGATTTACCTCAGTTCCACTTCCCGCTTTTTGGTGGTTAGAGATAAGACTCTCATGGACTTTTCTGCTAGGGTTAGATTCAGACTGTGATCCTCAGATCTCAGCCTCCTGAGTAGCTCGGATTACAGGCATGAGCCAACAGGACCCAGCCAACCTTCAACTAGTTCCTAGAGTTCTTTTTTTTTGGTCAGTCCTGGGGCTTAAACTCTGGGCCTGGGAGCTGTCCCTCAGCTCTTTAGCTTAAGGCGAGTGCTCTACCACTTGAGCCACAGTACCACTTCTGGTTTTCTGGTGGTTTATTGGAGATAAAGAGTCTCATGGACTTTCCTGCCCGGGCTGGCTTTGAACAGCCATCCTCAGATCTCAGCCTCCTGAGTAGCCAGGATTACAGGCTTGAGCCATTGGCCCGGCTCCTAGGGTTCTTAATAATGACATCACTGATAAAGCAGAAGTGGACAGGAGTGAGTTTCATGAGATGATGGTGATCAGCACAATGCAAGCCTATCTACCACAATATAGTGTTTTATTCCTTTCATACATTGATTTACTACCTTTAGGGATTACATTTTACTGTTATTTGACCATTTATACTTGGGGGTCTGCTTAGTATTTTGGGCATTACATTTCTACAAAATGGACTACAAAGCCAATTCCAGTAAATGTGTTCTCTTCTTAGTACTTTCTATTTTAAATTAAGATGTAATTTTCTTTAACAAAAAAGTTTTTCAACGATATAAACACAGCTGGGCACTGGTGGTTCATGCCTGTAATTCTAGCTACGTAGGAGGCTGAGGTCTGAGGATCGCGGTTCAAAGCCAGCCTGGGCAGGAAAGTCCGTGAGACTTTTATCTCCAATGAATCACCAGAAAACTGGAAATGGCACTGTGGCCCAAGTGGTAGAGTACTCACCTTGAGATGAAGAGCTGAAGGACAGTGCCCAGGCCCAGAGTTCAAGCCTCATGACCAACAAAAATAATAAAAGGATATAAGCACACTAGTTCAGAGCAGACGAATAATTATGAATACAAACATATTAAACTTGAAAGGCCACAGTTACTTATTTCTGCCAGGAGAGGGCAGCGTGGTCCTGGTGCTGTGAGTCTCACATACCAGAGATCTACATGGACAAAGTTAGCAGAGCTTGTCTGCCCAGCCACAGAATTAAAGATTCGTCTTGGATCATCACTATTTTACCTCAAGTCAATTTTGAAGGCAAACAGGTGTTTTTGTTTTTTCTGAACCTGGGGCTTGAACTCAGGGCTTGAGCGCTGTCCCTGAGCTGCTTTTGCTCAAGGCTAGTGCTCTACCACTTGAGCCACAGTTCTACTTCCGGCTTCTTCTGAATAGTTTACTGGAAGTAAGAGTTTCATAGGCAGTTCATGCCTGGGCTGGCTTCAAACTATGGTCCTCAGATCTCAGCCTCCTGAGTCGCTAGGATTTATAGGTGTGAGCTACCAGCACCTGGCGGCAAACTATTATTTAGGAATCAATTTTACTTTTTGGGGAGGTGAGGGTACTAGTGAGGTCTGAGCTCAAGGCTTTGTGCTTGCTAGACAGCCACTCCCCTGCTTAGCCATACCTCCAACCCTTAGTATGAATTTTAGAATAATGTGTAAACCTAGATTTGTTTCTTATAGTGCTGGAAATCAAATCCAGGGCCTCATGCTTGCTAGGTAAGTAATGTACCACCAAGCTTCATTCCCAACCCAGAACTCTAGAAATTAAAATATTAATTTTTTTGTGCTAGTCCTGGGGTTTGAACTCAGGGTCTGGGAGCCAACCCTGAGCTTTTGTGCTCCAGGCTAGCACACTACTACTTGTGAACCACTTCTGGTTTTTTTCCGGTAGTTAACTGGAGATAAGAGTCTCACAGACTTTCCTGTCTGGGCTGTCTTTTAACCACAGTTCTCAGATCTCTGCCTCCTGAGTAGGTAGGATTACAATAGGTATAAGTCATGGGCAAAATATTAATGTGATAAAAAATAAGCGTTTTCTCCAGTAGCTCCATCACTAAAATTTTTCCTGAAGTGTGATTATGATTCAACTATTTTTGCTATTACTGATCTTCAGAAGTCCCACCAATTGTTAAAAAAAAAGTAATGCCATACCTCTACTTCATTCAAGGCTGACTCTAAATCATTCTTCCAGCTCATTTTAAATTGCTTCATCCGTAACCTTTAATGATAGGAAAAGGTTAAAAATGTGTATCGTTCTTCACCCTCCACCCCAGAAGTCATTAATGCTTGGAGTCAATTTGTTCTATTTATACCTGAGACTTGAGAAAAATGGATGCAGAAAATATGCCCTGAACACTTAAGAGTAAAGGAAATTGGCAATTGTTTAGGTATCTACCTACATTACTTCCTCCACAAACCATGGATAGCAAGAGAAGGAAGAAACTTAATCCTCATGCAGTCATACTTCAAAATCACCCAGTACAGGGAAAGGAAGGGCAATCAACTGCTCTCCCCACCCGCATACAACCTTCCCTGTTCTACAAAGATCCAGGTCTAAATCAACAAAGCAAGAAGTCCAACAAGGGGACTCATTTGGTCAAGGCAAGTGCTCTACCACTTGAGCCACAGCCCCACGTCCAGTTTACTGGTGGGTCAGTAGAGATGAGAGTCTCACAGACATTCCTGCCCAGTCTGGCTTTGACCAGTGATCCTCAGATCTCAGCCTCCTGAGTAGGTAGGATGACAGGCGGGAGCCACCGGCACCACGCCATCATGACATTCTTGAGTGGACGTAGGTATAAGCTGTAGGCCTACAACAAGAGTGTATTAAGTGGAATCAAGCAAGCAGTAACACAGGAGATTTTATTCCTTTCAGCCTGACTGAAGTAGAATTTTAGGAAAAGATGGCAGAAGGGCTTTTCATGGGAAGCTGTCTGGATGTCTTGTCATACTGAATGATCAGAAGATGCTTTGCCTTCATCCTTCCTAGATCCCTGTCAAAATACGTATACTTTAGTCTCACCTGGCTTTGATTTCCAGAACAGCGGTGATTTCTTGTTTGGAAGCCTGGGTTTGGTATAAAAGCTCAACGATATAGTTCAAGTGTTCTGGGTCAAGCATTATTCCAGCTTCAACAAACTATAAAAGAGAATTTTAAAAAAAAGGTCATTCTTACAAAAACATGAGAGTAAGCAGGTGGCTCATGGCTGAAATCCAGGAGGCTGTGCTCTGAGGATTGTGGTTCAAAGTCAGTCTGGGTGGAAAAGTTCATGAGAGTCATTAGCCAGCAAAAAATGGGAAATGGAGCTGTAGTTCATATGTTAGGGTATCAGTCTTGAATACATTTAACCAAGTCAGAGCACCCTGAGTTGGAGCCCCATACCAGCACAAAACAACAAGAACAAGAAAGAAAACCAATACTTATAATACTTGTAAGTACTATATTATTATTATTATTATTTGGGTGTGTGTGTTTATTTATATGGGACCAAGGAATCAAACTCAGGGGCCTCATACATGCTAGGCAAGCACTTTACCACTAAGCCACGTTCCTTGCCCTATATTTTTTAAATAGTATTTTAAAAACAGTATTTCATACTATTTTTGTAAGAGTTGAAAAGCTATTATGTGAAATGATGAGGAGTGAAACATGTATAAAGTAGAATTAAAACAATAATAATATTTCAAGAGTATTTTCTTCAAATGTGAGATGCCCTTGTTTAAGAACTGAAGGAGGGGCTGGGAAGGTGGCTCAGTGATAGAGTGTTTGTCTGGCATGCATGAGGCCCTGGGTTCGAGTCCTCAGCACCACATAAGCAGATAAAGCAAGAAGTGGTGCTGTGGCTCAAGGGGTAGAGTGCTATCCTTGGGCTGAAGAGCTGAGGGACAGCGCCCAGGCCCAGAGTTCAGGCCCCATGACCGACAAAAAACAAAGATTTGAAAGAAAAAAAATGGAATAATTATTTTAATATAAAATTGAATTTTCTTTCCATTCTCAGTAATTTCAACCACTTCGTTACTTGTACCTCTTATCTGACATGCAGTGTTCAGATATCATCTCTGCTGGAAATTATTTTTTTATGCCAGTCCTGGGGCTTGAACCTTAGGGTTTGAGAGCTCTCCCTGAGCTTTTGTGCGCACGGGCTAGTGCTCCACCACTTTGAGCCAGAGCTCAGGGACAGCACCTAGGCCCCGAGTTCGAGATTGAGCCAGAGCTCAGGGACAGCACCCACACCCCGAGTTCAAGATACGAATTTCATGGATTTTCCTGCCTGGTCTGGCTTGAAACCTCCATCTTAAGATCTTAGCCTTTGAAGTAGCTAGGATTACAAGCATGAGCCACTAGTGCTGGGCTCTATTGTAAATTTCCTGAGAAATACCAACCTTGCAGCTTCCCTAGGCGTTAGCCAGGAAAACCTGCTGATTCTTTTTAAATTAATAACCTTGGTCATCAGCTGCCTACATAGAAAGGTTTGACTTTAACAAATGAATTCAGGGCTGGGAAGGTGGCTCAGTGGTAGAGTGCTTGCCTAGGATGCATGACGCCCTGGGTTCGATTCCTTAGCACCACATAAACAGAAAAAGCCAGAAGTGGTACTACGGCTCAAAAAAAAAAAAAAAGAATTCAAAGATTTCCCCTCTTAATTCATGAAGTCTTGTGTCTAAAGTTCTTCATTTCCCTCAGCTCAGATGGACAGAGCCAAGGGAGTATGTCAATGATTTTGTGTGTGTGTGTGGTGGTCTTGGGGCTTGAACTCAGGCCCTGGCCCTATCCCTGAGCTTCTTTTGCTCAAGGCCAGCACTCTACTACTTGAGCCACAGCACCACTCCCAGCTTTTCCCAAGCCATTTATTGGAGATAAGAGTCTCACTGCCCAGGCAGGCTTTAAACCAGTATCCTCAAATCTCTACCTCCAGAGTAGCTGGGATGATGGGCGTGAACATTCACTGGTTATTTTTGAGATAGGATCTTGATTCTCCCTCCCATATTTGGGGCACACCCCTGAGCTGCAATCCCCCGCCCCACACCCCCCTTAAATCTTCCCTTTGTAGCTGAGACAGCACTCCGGCCACCATGGCAACTTATCTGGCTGTGATGAAGTCTCATATACTTTTCTGCCCAGGCTGGCCTGGGACCATCCTGATCCTCCTCACCTGAGCTCCCCAAGCAGCTAGGATGATGGGCACATGCCACCACGACCAGCTATTGGTGCAGAAAGGGTCTGGCATGTATGTATACCAGGCTGGCCTCAAACTGAAATCCTCCTGACCTCAGCCTCCCAAGCCATTGGCACCTGTCTACTGCACCTGGCTAGCAGTCATATTGTGGTGTTCTGACTAGGTCTCCCATGTCACTCTGGGAATGAGGTGACACTGAAGAGGCTGGAATGTTCAGGGTGAGTGTTGAAATACTGAGCTGAGGAATGTTTGAAAATCAGTTGTTTCAGTCACTATTTTCTATATGTTTTGGTATAGATAAAATTGGCACATATAAAAATATGTTATCAGTATATAAAATGTATGTGGATATATAAGAATGTATATGTAATTACTCTGTATGTTGTGTGTATCTTTTGGAGAAGATATTTTTATAGTCTATTTCAGAAGAAAAAAAAGGATGTTTCTAAAAACAACATGAATAGTTGGGGCACCGGTGGCTCACACCTGTAATCCTATCTACTCAGGAAGCTGAGATCTGAGGATCACGGTTCAAAGCCAGCCTAGGCAAGAAAGTCTGTGGGACTCTTATCTCCAATGAACCACTCAGAAAACTGTGGCTCAAGTGGTAGAGTGCTTGCCTTGAGCTGAAGAGCTGAGGGACAGTGCCCAAGCCCAGAGTTCAAGCCCCATGATGAACAACAACAAAAAGAATAAAAAGGCAGATGAGGATTATGTGGAAATATTCATTTGTTTGCTTATTCTAAAGAATAAAAGAGACAAGTCATACCTTGCAGAAGATATCAATTAGAGCAGGCACCGCATTCCTTAATTTCAAAGTTGCCACATGCTCAAATATTTTTAGTATTATCTGTGGGGCAGGCTGATAAAACAAAAAAAAATGACATTGATTTTAAAGTTTTTCTTGCAGTATAAAATTTCTCAAGCTTGTTTATGCTGAAAACTACAAATGTTCACTAGGAAGTGTTTAATAGGTACAGAAATTAAACTGCTAGCTTCAAACAAATATAACAAAAAAGCCCCACCTCACTTAAAATATTAAAAAATGTTTTCTTGCTGGGTGCTAGTGGCTTACACCTATAATATTAGCTACTCAGGAGGCTGAGACCTGAGGACTGCATTTAAATCCAGCCTGGGCAGGAAAGTCCGTGAGACTCTTATCTCCAATAAACCACAAGAAAACTGGAAATGGCGCAGTGGCTCAAGTGGTAGAGCACTTGCCTTGAGCTGAAGAGCTCAGGGGCAGCGCCCAGGCCCAGAGTTCAAGCCCTACAACTGCCCCCCCCAAAACAAACAAAACCAGAAGTGGCTGCTGTAGCTTTAATGGTCGAGTGCTCCCCTTGAGCAAAAGAGAGCTCAGGGACCGTGCCCAGGCCCCAAGTTCAAGCCCCAGGACCAACCGGAAAAAAAACAAACAAGTTTTCTTGTCACTTACCGGTATTTTAACCATTATGCTGAGGTTCACTACCTGAAATACTTCTTTCAATAAACAATGCTTGAGTAAAGACATTAGAAGCTCATTTAAGACTTGTAAATCAAAGTATATACCCGGAGGAAAATTTCTGTAGAATTCCATAAATAAGTTTACTGCAAGTGAAAACACACAGTCATTGCAGCTACAGTATCCGTGTTTCCCAAATTACATGATTTTCCTATACTCAAAGAACGAGTATAAATTCACCTATTGAAAAGCTACCAGCAATATTGGAGCAGTATCAGCAGTATTTGATGAAAATTAAAGCAAAAGTCAAAATGGCAAACAGATGTGGGAAGTTAACTGAGCAAGCTCAACCGTTAGATTCATACTATTCACAAAAAGTAATAAAATAAAACCCACTGGGTATGGTGGCTCACGCCTGTCATCCTAGCTACTCAGGAGGCCGAGATGTGAGGATTGAGATTCAAAGCCAGTCTGGGCAGGACAGTCCCCATGAGACTCTTATCTCCAATGAACCATAGAAAACTAGAAGTGGAGCTATGGCTCAAAGTGATTAGAACACTAGCTGTGAGCAAAAGAGCTCAAAAAAAAATCAAAAATGCCAAATACTGGTATTTTTTCAGAGTGAGTCCTGGGGAGTCAACCTACCAGGAAGCCAGGGATGGGGGAGGGGGTGTGTGGGTATGTGGGGAGGCTTGTACGCAGCCTGGTCATGCATAAAGAGTCACACAATTTGGTGACAGGTGCAAGACTACTCTGACGCATGCTCATTTTTCTCTTTTTTTAACCCCTAAAACGGTTCAGTAAAAGTTACTTTGGGATTTATTTTTGCAGAGCTGAGGACCAGACTCAAGGGCTTGCATTTGCTCAAGTGCTCTTCCACCGAGCTAGATCCCCAGCCTCTTGGATTTACTCTTGTATTCATTATTTCTACTAAAAATACTTATCACGAGGCTGGATTACTTGCAAAAGTCAATCACGCATGACAAGGTTCAGGACCACAACTAACAAGTTCATGTGGCGCTTGGGATCATGGCGCATGCCTGAAATGCAGACACTTGGAAGAGAGAAATAGTGGGGCTGCAGTTCAAAGCCAGCAGGGCAAAGAGCTAGCAAGATCCTACTCAAAAGCAAGCCAGGTGAGATGGCGCGTGCCTGTAATCCCGCCCGTGTGGCAAACGCAGGTAGGACAGTCACTGCCCAAGGCTGCTTGTGCAAACTTGGCCCCAGGTCCTGTTTGCAAAGCAATAAAGCAGAAAGACAAGGGCCGTGGTACAAGTGGTAGAGTGCTTGTCTTAGCAAGTGGGAGGTCCTGAGTTCAAGCTCCATATTGAACCAATACTAATCATGTTAAAATGTGTCATTCTTAGCAACCTGAATACTGCTACATAATAATATTCAACTTGATTATACAGCTGTTTTATATACTACATTTTCCCCCCTTCGGTACATACAGATGAATTCTTGCTGCTGTTTCTTCTTTTCTTCACCATTTTTACATAGTTGCCTATTAAAAAGTCGATCAACTGACCCCATACAGAGAATGGCTGGCCACTGGTGGCTCACGCCTGTAAGCCTAGCTACTCAGCAGGCTGAGATCTGAGGATTGTGGTTCAATTCAAACCCAGGCAGAAAAAAAAGCCCATGAGATGTTTATCTCCATCTACCTCTTGAGCTATACCTCGAGTCTAGCTTTTTGCTAATTAATTTGAGATGGAGTCTTCTGGACTTTTCCACCCAGGCTGGCTTTGAACTGTGATCCTCAACAAATTTCACGCATGAGCCACCAGAGCCAAGCTATCTTCCTACAGATTAAAAGGTTAATTAATAATTATCTTTTTCTTTTTTCTGTTTTTTTTCTGGTTGTGGGCCTTGAACTCAGGGCCTGAGCACTATCCCTGAGCCTCTCTGTGCACAAGGCTATCACTCTACCACTTGGGCCACAGTGCCAATCCTGGTTTTTGAGTGATTAATTAGAGATAAGACACTCATGGGTACTTTTCTGCCTGGGCTGGCTTTGAATTGTGATCCATAGATCTCAGCCTCCTGAGTAGCTAGGATTACAGGCGTGAACCTGTACATATGAGATATGTAAATGAAATTTCAAACTCATGAAAATATTATTGTATAAGTGAGATATAGTGGTGGATAGATAGCAGTTTTTTAAGTTAAAACAGCATGCTTGCCGGGCACCGGTGGCTCGTGCCTGTAATCCTAGCTACTCAGGAGGCTGAGATCTGAGGATCACAGTTCAAAGCCAGCTTGGGCAGGAAAGTCCGTGAGACTCTTATCCCCAATAAACCACTAGGAAACCAGAAGTGGCACTGTGGCTCAAGCGGTAGAGCGCTTGCCTTGAGCTGAAGAGCGCAGGGACAGCGCCCAGAGTTCAAGCTCCACGACCAACAAAACAACAACAACAAACAAAAATACCCAGCATGCTTATATTTACTTTTTTTTTTTTTTTTTAGGTCCAGTTGTGGGGCCTGAACTCTGGGCCTGGGCGCTGTCCCTCAGCTCTTCAGCTCAAGGCTAGCGCTCTACCACAGCGCCACTTCCGGCTTTTTTCTTTTTGCTTATGGGGTGCTGAGGAATGGAACCCAGGGCCTCAAGCATGCAAGGCAAGCGCTCTACCACTGAGCCATCTTTCCAGCCCCATATTTACTCCTTTCTATGGCCAAGAAAGCCACTCTTAGGTAAGGTACTAGTTTCATATTTTAAAAGCACTGAATTAAGATTACACATCAGCACATTATGAAAACACTCATATTGATAAATTAGAAATAATTACTGAATTGTTTCATACCTGCACGTTGCAGCAAGCATATCTCATTGATGCTTATATATTTCTTAAACACATCCATGCAAACCTATGAAAATTATGAGAGTATTAAATCACCTTTTTTTCAGACTTTTTTTTTTGTCAGTTGTAGGGCTTGAACTCAGGGCCTGGGTGCTGTCCCTGAGCCTCTTTGCGCTCCAAGATAGCACTATACCACTTGAGCCACAGCACCACTTCCAGTTTCTAAGTGGCTAATTAGACTTAAGAGTCTGACAGAGACTTTTCTACCCAGGCTGGCTTTGAACCATGATTCTCAGATCTCAGCCTCTTGAGTAGCTAGTATCACAGGCATGCGCCACTAGTGCCTGGCCTCTTTCAGACTTTTAAACTGAGTTTAAGGCACTGGGATAAAGCAGTCAATATACAGCTAGATGAGCGATTTGAAATGTGTGTTGAATTCATTATAATTCTTCCTCTAGGTTGTTTAAAAAAAATTCACTCTTTTTCTCCCCATAAACCTCCCTCCCCAACCTGACTCAAGAGCCAATGTGCTCATTGTTCCTTTCTTTCTTTTTTTTTTTCTTCTGCTTATGTGGTGCTGAGGAATCGAACCCAGGGCCTCATGCATGCAAGGCAAGCACTCTACCACTGAGCCACCTCCCCAGCCCCTCATTGTTCCTTTCTTTTTTCACTCAAGACTAGCACTCTACCAACTGAGCCACACCGGTACTTCTGGCTTTTGGTAGTTGACTGGAGAAAAAAGTCTCATGGACTTTTCTGCCTGGGCTGGCTTCAAACCACAGTCCTTAGATCTCAGCTTCCTCAGTAGCTAGGATTACAGGAGTCAGACTTGGGTCACTTTTTCTAGTATCACCCAAATGCCCATCAAACAGCAATATTTAGTCACAAAATTTATTGTGATAAACTCACCTAAAGAAATACTATTATTACAGGGAGAAAACCAATAAACAATTACATTAAAAATGTACAGATGGGGGCTGGGAAGGTGGCTCAGTGGTAGAGAGCCTGCCTTGCATGCGTGAGGCCCTGGGTTTGATTCCCCAGCACCACATAAGCAAAAAGAAAAAAGCCAGAAGTGGCGCTGTGGCTCAAGTGGTAGAGTGCTGGCCTTGAGCTGAAGAGCTGAGGGACAGCGCCCAGGCCCAGAATTCAGGCCCATGACCGGAACCCCCCCCCCAAAAAAAAGTACAGGTATGTTGCTAAAATACTGAGTAAAAGTAAGCAAGCTGAGCATGGCGATTATAGGCAAGCACCTATAGTCTCAGCTACTCGGGAGGCTGAGACTGAGGATAACAATTTGGGTGACGTAGCAAGACACTTTTAATTTAAAATTAAAATTTAAGCCAAGTGCCTGTCATCCTAGCTACTCAGGAAGCTAAGATCTGAGGACTGAGGTCCAAAGCCAGCCTGGGTAGGAAAGTCCATGAGACTCTGATCTCCAATGAACCACCAGAAAACTGGAAGCGACGCTGTAGCTCAAGTGGTAGAGTTCTCGCCTTGAGCTGAAAAGCACAGGGACAGCGCCCAGGCCCAGAGTTCAAGCCCCATGACCAAAAATAAATAAGTAAAAGCAAGAATAGAGTCAGGCACCGGTGGCTCATGCCTATAATCTTAGCTACTCAGGCTAGGATTGGAGATCTGAGGATCATGGTTCAAAGCTAGCTGGAGCAGGAAAGTCCATAAGACTCTGATCTCCAATTAACTACTAGAAAATTGGAAGTGGAGCTGCAGTTCAAGTGGTAGAGTGCTAGCTTTGACCAAAAGACACTCAGGGGCAGCACCTAGGCCTTAAATTCCAGCCCCACGGCAGGCAAAATAGGGGGGAAAAAGCCAGGCACAAAAGCATACATATTTTACAATTCCATTTATATCAAGTACAAAACTGGGCAAAACTTACCTATGCTATCAGAAGAAAATCACAACACATGCGTGACTGAGACAGTCAGACAACTTACACTTCAAAGGCTCTGTCTGGCTTACCTTTTCATCCTCCTGTTCAGGAACATGAGCGAACTTACACTGTGATCGTTCACAACCACGCAAGGTGTTAAAATGAAATTTGCAGTATCTGTGGGGCATCATCAGCCCTAGGGGTTTCTGGAACACCTGGACAAGTAGAAAAACTCCCTCTGTTAATTGGAGAACATGGTCAAGTAAGAAAGCATTTGAAACACACACATACATATTTGAATATATACAGATATATATATACAATTAATATATATAATACAGATTAAATAATGTTATGAAAGCTTATATGCTCACCCTGTTTCTGCTTCTGACTCGACTTTAATGAAAATTTAATTTGATTATAATATACAATTCTCTTTAGCCTTTGTGATTAATGGGAAAAGGCATTACACATTGTGCAGCAAACTTTTCCATACACTGGTTTATTCTGCCAGCTGTCTTTTCAGCAGCAGAAATTATGCATCCTGTGCTTTCTCTTTTGGATGTTGTTTTCAACTCCTTAGGTTATTTGTGAATATCATTGCTTACTTTTTGCCTCCTTCCAATAATCCCCATTTAAAAACCTTTATGGCCCGGCACTGGTGGCTCCTGCCTGTAATCCTAGCTACTCAGGAGGCTGAGATCTGAGGATCGAGGTTCAAAGCCAGCCTGGGAAGGAAAGTCCATGAGACTCTTATCTCCAATAAACCACTAGAAAACCAGAAGTGGCACTGTGGCTCAAGTGGTAAAGCGCTAGCCTTGAGCTGAAGAGCGCAGGGACAGTGCCCAGGCCCAGAGTTCAAGCCCCACGACCGACAAAAAAAAAAAAAAAAAGAAGTCTGAAAGTAGTTAAAAAAAAAAAATATATAGGAAAGCCAGGCACTGGATCTCAGGCCTGTAATCCTATCTTCTCCCGAGGTGGAGATCTGAGGTTTCAATTTCAAAGCCAGCCTGGGCAGGAAAGTCTGTAAGACTCTTACCTCCAAGTAACTATCAGAAAACCGCAAGTGGAGCTGTGGCTCAAGGGATAGTGTCAGCCTTGAGCAGAAAAAGGGATAGTGCCTAGCTAGGTGCTGAGTGCAAGTCCCAGTGTCAACAAGCCCCAGTATCAACACACATACAAAACAGAGAAATATCCCCAGAGGAACCTAAAGTATGGGCTGTAAATTGACTCTACCATTTGAGCCACCCCCAGCCCTTTTGATTTTTTTTTTTTGTCGTTCTTGGGGCTTGAACTCTTGGCCTGGGTGCTGTCCCTCACCTCTTCAGCTCAAGGCTAGTGCTCTACCTCTTGAGCCACAGCGCCACTTCTGGTTTTCTGAGTGGTTTACTGGAGATGAGAGTCTCCCAGACTTTCCTGCCTGGGCTGGCTCTGAACCATGATCCTCAGATCTCAGCCTCCTGAGTAGCTAGGATTATAGGTGTGAGCCACCGATGCCCAGCTCATATTTTTTGTGTTTCTGAGACAGGTTCTCCTTAACTTCACCTGGGCTAGCTTCATACTCAAGATCCTCTTGCTTCTGCCTTCTGAGTGCATTGGATTACAGGCTCGGACCCCCTAGGCTCAGCTCAGATAATTTCCTGTGGGGGAGAACTTACCCCCATATTTTTTTCTCTCTTAAATATTTCACAAGCATCAGGACTCTGCAGCTGCGGGACAGGATGTCTTCCTGGAAATCTGAAATCTAGAAGAAGTGATTTAGAATGGCATTACATAGCAGTGTGTTCCTACTTACTTCCTTTCTAACAATCTGTTTTAAAGTTTCCCGTTGGAATATTCATATTCAGCTTACAGACTGTATTACCATGTGTGTTACTATGAAACACATAATGATTTACATCTTGGACACCTGGAATTTAAGCTCTGAGCTTAAATTTTTTAAGTTCACTCTAGGCTGCAAAAAACCTTCCAAAAAGTCTTACATAGTTGCTCTGAGCAATGCATTCAAATAAATCATCTCTAAGTTAGTCAAATACTGTAAATGATTTTTTTATTTTTGTGGTTCCAGTGCTGGGGCTTGAACTCTGTACCTGGGCACTGTCCCTGATCTTTTGTGCTCAAGGCTAGTGCTCTAAACTTGTTACCACTCTACTTTTGGCTTTAAGTACCAAAATAAATGTCTCACAGACTTCCTGCTCAGACTGGCTTTGAACTGTGATCCTTACATCTCAGCCTCCTGAGTAGCTGGGATTACAGGTGTGAATCACTGGTACCTGGTTTGTACACAAGCTTTCTTTTTTCTTTTTTGTTAGTCATGAGGCTTGAACTCTGGGCCTGGGCACTGTCCCTCAGCTCTTCAGCTCAAGGAGAGCACTCTACCACTTGGAGCTACAGAGCCACTTCCGGTTTTCTAGTGGTTTACTGGAGATAGGAGTCTCATGGTCTTTCCTGCCCGGGCTGGCTTTGAACTACGATCCTCCAATCTCAGCCTCCTGAGTAGCTAGGATTACAGGTGTCAGCCACCGTTGCCTGGCTATATACAAGCTTTCTAAAGAAGGAATACTGACAAATCCAGGTGCTACAGGCTCAACTGGTGCCCCTGAAAAATACCCCTATTGACCCTATTGTGACTGTATAAACAGGGCCTCTGGAAGTCTAAAAGTAGTTCTAGGGGTAGGGGCTCTTAAAGAACAGACACCTACCTAGAAAGCACAAAACCCTGAGTTCACATCTCAGTATTACCAAATACACACACTCATACATACATACACACACAGACACACAGATATACAAAAAACTGGCCCAGTGCTGGTGGCTCACACCTATCATTTAACCACTCAGGAGGCTGAGAACAGGAGGATTACAGTTCAAGGCCAGCCTGTGCAGGAGTTTACAGGACTTCTTTTCAACCCCTTTCTAGGCATGTGCTTGTCAAGTCTAAAAACACAAAACAAAAAACATCAACCCAACCCACTCCGTGCATACACAAAGTAAAGGGTACGTGAACACAGTAAAAGGATAGTTTCTGTGAACCATACGTGCTAAGCCAGCCAGAGCCTGGACTTCCAGCCTCCAGGGACAGGAGAAAAACAACTTTTCTTATTTAAGGTCTCCAGCCTGTGGTGTTTGCTGTCTAGCAACCTGAACTGATTAATGTAGACTAATTCAGCCAATCCATTTGAATCATTTCTCCTTAAATGTGACTTCGTTTTGAAAAAAGGAAACAACCAAGAACTAGGATATTCAAAATATTGTTTTCTAAAGATAACATGAAAAAATGCGTGTTAATTATTTTTTTTTATCCGCAGTAGTATCCAGATATTATCTACAGGCTAATATGCTGTTTCGTAGTCACTGGTCTCATGAGAACTCAAAGGCTTTTGGTCTTGAAGCCAAGGATCTCAACAGCCAGCAGTGAATCACAGAAGAAGCCAGGCACCAGAGGCTCAGGCCTGTAATCCCAGCTACTCAGGAGGCTAAGATCTGAAGATCAAGGCTCAAAGCCAGCCTGGGCAGCAAAGTCCACGAGACTCCTCTCTCCAATGGACCACTGGAAAATAGAAAGTGGCGCTGTGGCTCAAAGTGGCAGAGTGCTAGCCTTGAGCAAAAAGAGTTCAGGGACAGTGCCCAGGCCCTGAGTTCAAGCCCCATGACTAACAAAGAAAAAAAGGTAGGTGGATGATATATGAAATGGTTACAATTAAAGCATAAATTAATGCTAAAGCATTAGGATTATATATATTAAAAAACTTCTCAACACAAAATTTTTTTTGTTAGTCCTGGGGCTTGAACTCAGGGCCTGGCCACTGTCCCTGAGCTTTTTTTGCTCAAGGCTAGCGCTCTACCACTTGAGCCACAGTGCCACCTCCAAATTTTTCTGTGTATGTGATACTGAGGAATCAAACTCAGGGCTTCATGCATGCTAGCAAGCACTCTACCACTAAAGTACATTCCCAGACCCTCAATACAAATCTTTTTTTTTGTTGTTGTTATTGTTGTGTTTTTTATTTGCCAGTCCCTGGGGCTTGAACTAAGGCCTGGGCACTGTCCTTGGGCCTCTCTGTACTTAAGACAAGTGCTCTACCACTTGAGACCCAGCGCCACTTCCAGCTTTTTCTGTTTATGTGGTGCTGAGGAATCAAACCCAGGTCCTCATGCATGCAAGGCAAGCGCTCTACCACTAAGCCACATTCCTAGCTCTCAACACAAATCTTAAACTCACAGATAAACCCAATTAAAACAGAACGATTTTAGGTAATTCCTGTAATATCACTGTCACATAAATAGTTATTCCAGAAACTATACCTTTAATAGTACTAAGGTACACAAGTCTTCTAGTTTTATATATACATATATATCTATATCTATATTTCATACTGATTTTTTTGTCTTTATTATTTTTCCAATACTGAGGCTTGAACTCAGGGCCTGGGCACTGTCTTGTAGCTTTTACTGCTCAAGACTAATGTTCTTACCACTTACGCCACACCTCTACTTATAGCTTTTTGCTAGAGATAAAAGTCTCTGGCTGGTTTCAAACTGTGATCCTCAAAGCTCAGCTTCCTGAGGAGCTAGGATGACAGGTAAGAGCCACTGGTGCCCAACTTATCTTTATTGTTTATTATTTTTCTGAAAACATCTCCTGTACAGTTTCTGTAATAGTAAAAGCCAACAGCGTTTCCAAAGAAGGCAAGCGTTAGTGGGGCACTGGGGGTTCACACCACCAATTTCGGCTGATACTCAGGAGGCTGAGATCTGAGGATCGCAGTTTAAAGTCAGCCTGGGAAGGAAAATCCATGAGACTCTTATCTCCAATGAACCACCAGAAAACCAAAAGTGGTGCTGTGGCTGAAAGTGGTAGAGCATTAGCCTTGAGCAAAAAGAGCTCAGGGACAATGCTCAGGCCCTGAGTTCAAGCCCCACCACCGAGAAAAGGGAGGGGGGGGAGAAAAAAAGGCAAGCATTACCATTCATCCAGAGCTTTGGAACTTTATCCTCCTTATGCCCACTGTGAGTCAGAGGCCTGGGGCCCAGGAGTGCTAATTGACCTTCAGCCATCACCATCTCTGCATTTCCAGAATCTTTGCTTTATGACCAGAAAACACCAACAACAAAAACAAACAAAAAAAAGAGTTTAAATGTTTGAGAATATTATTCTGAAGTATTTTAAAAATAGAAACTGAAATAGTTTACCTTTAAAGATACTGAAGTCTCTGGCTGCTGGTGGCTCATGCCTGTCATCCTAGCTACTCAGGAGGCTGAGATCTGAGGATCGAGGTTTGAAGCCAGCACCGGCAGAAAAAGTCCCCATGAGACTTTTTATCTCCAATTAATTGCTCAAAAACCAGAAGTGGGGCTGTGGCTCAAAGTAGTAGAGTGCTAGCCTTGAGCAAAAAAAGAGCTCCGGGACAGAGCCCAGGCCTCCAGTTCAAGCCTCACTACCAACAAAATAAATAAATAAAAATAAAGCCGGGTGCTGGTGGCTCATGTCTCTAATCCTAGCTACTCAGGAGGCTCTGATCTGAGGATCATTATTCAAAGCCAGCCTGAGCAGGAAAGTCTGTAAGACTCTTAGCTCCAACAAACCACCAGAAACTGAAAGTGGCGCTGTGGTCCAAGTGGTAGAGCGCTCACCTTGAGCAGAAGAGCTCCAGGCCCAGAGTTCAAGCTCTACGACTGACGACAAAAATAAAAAAAAAATAAATACTTGTCATATTTGACACATCTAATACTCGGTAGATGCCATCTGGCATAGTATACCATATACTTTATGATACTGCCCTATTTTTAACAGAACATTCCTGTCTTTTGAATAGAAGACCAACGTTTATGAAGTAGTTGGTTGGGGTAGAGACAAGAATGGGGAGATAGGGTTAAAATGACAGCAATCTTAGCAGTAGGGAGGCAGGGTTAAGTTGCAGGACAGTGTAGGCTACAGGGAAAGACCTTGTCTTAAAAAAAAAAACAAACAAACCCAGAAACAAAATACTAGAGCAAAAATGTAAGTGGAGTCTTGCTATGTTGTCCAGCTTGGCTTTGATCTCCAAGCTCCCTTCCTCAACTTCCTGAGTAGCTGAGAGTACGGATGAAAACCACTCACCATGCCCAAGTTCAAAATGTTTGTGATCATCCAGACAAAAGGTTCCACGAGGAACCAGAAAAGGCTATTTGAATTATTCTACGGATGGCGAAATTCCCGAAATCATTCCTAAGTTTTATTTACTTTTAATTTTGGTGCCAGTACTGAGACTTGAACTCAGAGCCTAGGCGCTGTCTGTTAGCTTTTTTGCTCAAGACTGGTGCTCTACCACTTGAGCCGTACCTTCACTTCTGGTTTGTTGCTGGATAATGGGAAATAAGAATGCCTTGGACATTTCTGCTTGGGCTGGCTTTGAACCTTGATCATCAGAACTATTTCCAGAATAGCTGGTTTATTTTTGTCAGTCATGGGGCTTGAACTCTGGGCCTGGGCACTGTCCCTGAGCTCTTTTTGTTCAAGGCTAGTGCTCTACCACTTTGAGCCACAGCACTACTTGGAGCTAAGAGTCTCATGAACTTTCCTGCCTCAACTGATTTCAAACTATGATCCACAGATCTCAGCCTCCTAAGTAGATTGGATTACAGGCATGAGACACCAGGGTCCAGCTTCTTTTAAGTTGTGAATTGCATGCTCTTCTTACTCTTTCCTATTCCATCCTGCGTGGCAGGTGAATTACCCTATTTAGTATCCATTTGGCATAAAGTTGGCCACTCAGCGGCCACTTCTGGTATTAGATCATCTGTCCTGGTTTTATTCAAGCATCTATTACAAAACGGCCTGACTGGCAGCACAATGTTTACAAATCTCACTTCCCTTACATCACCCCAAGCAGTGTGAGAACAATCCAGTTACTCCTCATTCACATACCTTTTCCTGCAGTATCCTGTTGTGTTCTATTATTACTTTTTGGCTATTCATCTCTTACTATGCCTAAGTTAATTGTGAATGAGATCTTACTGTAGATATGCATGCATAGGAGGAAGTATACTATAGAGAGAGGTTGGTACTATGTGTAGTCTCAGACATCCACTGCAGGTTTTAGAATGTTGTGTCCTGTGGATAAAAAGGGACTGCTGTATAAATTAAGTCTCAAGATGACTTTATAGGATAACCCTACACATTCTACGGATAGCTTTCTCTGAAGAATGGCACTGAAAATATTGTTGCTAGGTGCTGGTGGCTCATGCCTGTCAGCTACTCAGGAAGCTGAGATCTGAGGATCATGATTCCAAGACAGCTCAGGCAGGAAAGTCCGTGAGACTCAACTCCAATAAACAAGAACTGTTACAGACCTTTTGAAAACTTCATAATCAGTTTCTTTTTCTTCATTAATAGTTGCCTTCTCTGAAACTCTACACTGTGAAGAGAGTACAGTTAAGTAAGTAGAAGTGAATGTCTCTGTATCACACTTTAAACTATGAGGTCAACCTTATTTATTAGAATGTTGCCAGATTATGGCCAACTCTTAAAAATAACTCTAATCTATATAAATTTAAATAATGACTAATGACTTAAAATAATTTCATGGCTGAAGACAAAAAGCAATGTAAACTCACACACACCCCAGCTTTGATATATTTTACATGAGTTATTTATTATAAGCAATTAAACTTATTTCTTTTTATTCAGAAAAGGAATCGAGTAATTTTTACTTATTTATTTTTTTGGTTGGTCATGGGGCTTGAACTCTGGGCCTGGGCACTGTATCTCAGCACTTCAGCTCAAGGCTAGCACTAGCACTTGAGCCACAATGCCATTTCCAGTTTCCTGGTGGTTAATTGGAGATAAGAATCTCATGGACTTTCCTGCCCAGTATGGCTTTGAACCAGGATCCTCAGATCTCAGCCTCCTGAGTAGCTAGGATTACAGGCATGAGCCATGGGCGCCAGCTATTTTTATTTTATTTTTTTGGTGGGTTGTGGGGCTTGAACTCTGGGCCTGAGTGCTGTCCCTCAGCTCTTCGGCTCAAGGCTAGCGCTCTACCACTTGAGCCACAGCGCCACTTCCTATTTTTATTTTTAGAGTGGCATGAACACCATAAAATTAACTCTTATTAGGCAACATGTTTTTAAGCATAGTTATATAAAATATGTATAGAAATATTAAATAAAAAATATAAAATGAAAACTAAAAGTCATCTGCAAAAGCAGCAAGCGAGACAAAAGTTTAAAAACCTCATCAACTCGTGAGTCTGGGGAGAAAATGGCATCTCACCAATGTAGTTGGAAGTATAAATGAAATCAATCTCTATAAAGGGCAATTTGACAATTCTAGGAATTAATCCAAAGATTTTTGCACATATGCAAAATGCCTTATGCTCAGGGACATATGTAATACAGCAATATTTAAATAGCAAAAAAAGTTACAACAAACCAAATGTCCATCTATAGTGGAACTTACTAAACAAAGTTTATATTATCATAGCTATTTATACAACTATACAAACATGACATCATTATAGACAATGAAAAGAAAAAAATTCATCATATAGTAGATTTAAAAAAATGGTCGCTCACGCCTGTCATCCTAGCTACATAGGAGGCTGAGATCTGAGGATCGCAGTTCAAAGCCAGCCCAGGCAGGAAACACTGTTAGACTCTTATCTCCCATAAACCACTCAGAAAATCGGAAGTGGCGCTATGGCTCAAGTGGTAGAGCGCTTGCCTTGAGCTGAAGAGCTGAGGGACAGTGCCCAGGCCCAGAGTTCAAACCCCACAACCTACCAAAAAAAAAAAAAAGAGAGAGAGAGAGAGATGCAAACATTTTGAACTGGGTGGAGATAAAAAGAGAAAGGGGCAAGTGAACCAGTTCTAAGCTCCAACTTTTGTTTTGAAGACAGTATAATCATGATGTCTACATTCCAACTTTTTTTTAATGAAGGCAATAAAATGAGGTCAAATTCAAAATAAAACAAAAAAAAACCCCGTGGAACTGCAGGCAAGATCAAATAATATTCAATATTTCATGTTTCATGAGGCAGAGAAAAATGCCTAACATTTTCCTTAGGAAGACTTACAGAGTAATTAGCATGAATTTCAGGATGCCGAGTGGCTGAAGATATAATCACAGGGTACATCCTGTTTCTCCCAGATTAGGGAAACTCTGGGTTTATGCAAAATGTCAAGAGACACATCCCCTGGCCAGAGCAATAGGATTGTTTTATGCAATAATAAGTAGGTATGTTTGCCACCTGACAGCAGTGTGTAGCTGAATTCCTGTTACTTTTTAAGACTTAAGAAATAAGAGTGCAGAAGATCTCCTAGTACCTTTTCATCCATGTCTGACCCTTTTATTTGTTCACTGAGGTCTCCCAATTTGTCATTCTTAACAGCCTCGCGAGTTACTTCAATGGAAACATCTGCACCTTTGGCATCACATTTTATCTCATTTGCTGAAAAGACATAATATTCAACTAGAGCATCTTTACGCAAAGTAAGCAAGTTATTCAGAGACTCTTCTAAAAGGTGACTTTGCAGGCTCTGCCAAGCCTTACTACCAAAATAATGCTGCTACATGGTATGAAAAGAATTGATAACCAGGTGCCAGTGGCTCACGTCTGTCATCCTAGCTACTCAGGAGAGCTTAGATATGAGGATCACAGTTCAAAGCCAGCCCAGGCAGGAAAGACTGTGAGACTCTTGCCTTCAATTAAGTTCTAGGACTGGATGACACACACACACACACTCGATAGTAGATATTTAAGAATCTTATGTGTAGTTTATATGTATAAAGTCAGTTGGGGGTCTTGAACTCAGGGCCTGGGCACTGTCCCAGAGCCCTTTGGGCTCAAGGCTAGCACTCTACCACTTTGAGCCTGGCTCCATTTTCAGTTTTCTGGTGGTTCACTGGAGATAAGAGTCTCACCGCCTTTCCTACAAAGGCTGGATTTGAACTGTGTTCTTCAGATCTCAGCCTCCTGAGTAGCTAGGATTACAGGTGTGAGCCACTAGTGCCTGGCATTAAAAATATTTTTAAAGCTTGAAAGTTAAAGCAAAACTAATGTTCACATTGTTAAAATTCTATAAAGACTTACATATTTTATGCTTATGATTTGTTGTTATATTTTTTTTTTGTCGGTCGTGGGGCTTGAACTCTGGGCCTGGGCACTGTCCCTCAGCTCTTCAGCTCAAGTTGAGTGCTCTACCACTTGAGCTACAGGGCCACTTCCGGTTTTCTGGTGGTTTATTGGAGATAGGAGTTCTCCTGCCGGGGCTGGCTTTGAACCTCGATCCTCAGATCTCAGCCTCCTGAGTAGCTAGGATTACAGGCGTGAGCCACCAGCCCGGCTTATTATAATTTTTTTAATGCCAGCCTTGGGGTTTGAATTCTGGGTCAGGATGTTGTCTCTGAGCTTTTTTGCTCAAGGCTAACTCTGAAGCCAGAACTCCACTTTTAGCTTTTTTGGGTATTTAATTGATGATAAGAATCTCACAGACTTTCCTGCCCAAGATGGCTGTGAATCATGATCCTCAGATTTCAGCCTCTTGAGTAGCTAGGATGACAGGCACGGGCCACCAATGGCTGGCTATTATACATTTTTCATGACTCAGAATTGAAAATGTGATCAATTTGAAGCACATTTCAATTTCAAGATTGTAAAAATTGCTGAGGTCATTTACCTATCTTCTTTAGATTAAAGCATACAAAGTTATGTATTAAACAAATGGAAAAAGCTCTCAAACATCAAATCTGTGAAAATGGACAAACAGCAAATGTGGTGAATAGAGTCAACTGTCAATGTGCACATGGACTTTAAAAGACAAGCTTCATATTCTCTAATGAGTTCATCTTTATTAGGCTAGAATGGAAATATATAGATATTTCATTACTGCTAGTTCTGAAAATGTCCAATTTTACCTTTTGACAAAGCAACACAGGTCTCTGACTTCATCAATCCAGGGTCCAATACAGGAAGCTCTCTATCAGGAAGCAAACACAGCTCAAACATTGTAACAGTCTCTGAAAACAATCTACTTCTCTTTAAATCCTGTTCAACACTAGCTTTGTGTGTGTGCTGGTCCTGGGGCTTGACCTCTGGGCCTGGGCACTATCTCTCAGATCTTCAGCTCAAGGTGAGCACTCTACCACTTGAGCCACAGCTCCACTTCTGGTTTTCTGATGGTTCACTGGAGATGAGAGTCTTTCCTGCCTGGGCTGGCTTTGAACTGTGATCCTTAGATCTCAGCCTCCTGAGTAGCTAGGATGACAGCTGTGAGCCACTGGTGCCTGGCTTAAAAACAAACAAACAAACAACAACAACAAATAACTCTGGGCCTATGTGCTGTCCCTGAGCTTCTTTTGCTCAAGGCTAGCACTCTACCACTTGAGCCGTAGCACCACTTCTGGCTTTTTCTGTGATTCATTGGAGGTAAGAGTCTCATGGGCTTTCCTACCTGGGCGGGCCTCGAATCACAATCCTCAGATCTCAGCCTCCTGAGTAGCTAGAATGACAGGCGTAAGCCACCAGTGCCTGGCTTCCAACACTAGCTTTTGAGGTTAATGACATCCTCATTTCCTCCAGGACGGGGTTAATATTCTGGGACCCAGTGTCTAGCTCCTCTGTAGATCTCACACTTGGTTTTTAACCTAGTCCCTGGGGTCAGGGAGTCCTGCCATTCCAAATAAGTTCCCTTGAAAGGATGTGACATGTCGTACCAAGCATTTCAACAAGTTGTAAAGCATTACACCAACAAGAGTGTTCCAACTTCTGCTTTCAGATGTGTGTGTGTGCCTCACTGGCAAAGTCAAAGGAAGGCAGACTGGAACAGTTTGTGTTTACTTTTTTGTTGGTTTGCTGGTTATTGTGTGGTCTCATAAGACAGACTATAATCTGAAAGTCAAGGTAGCTGGGCGCCAGTGGCTCATGCCTTAAACCCTAGCTACTCAGGAGGCTGAGATCTGAGGATCACGGTTCAAAGCCAACCTGGGCAAAAAAGTCCATGAGACTCATCTCCAGTGAACCACTCAGAAAACCAGAAGTGGCACTGTGGCTCAAGTGGTAGAGTGCTAGCCTGGAGCACAAAAAGGCTCAGGGACAGTGCCAGGCCCTGAGTTCAAGCCCCAAACCACACACACACACACACACACAAAAAGCTAAGGTAACAGAGGTCAGAGTTAGACCAACCTGCATTCAGATACTCTTCTATTACTTACTCTGTCAATTGGGACAAATAGGACTTCTTTGTTTAGTCGTAACTATAAAATGAAAATGATTACCAACCATTCCATTTTTGCTAACTTAGCAATTTTAGCTACACAGGAATCTGAGATCTAAGGATTGTGGTTCAAAGCCAGCCCGGGAAAGAAAGTCTGTGAGACTCTTATTTCCAATCAACTAGCATAAAGCTGGAAGTGGAGCTATGGCTCAAGTGGTAGAGCGCCAACCCCGAGTTCAAATGCTAAGTAAAGCACAGCACTCAGGTCCTGAGTTCAAGTCCCAGTATTAGCACATGTAGTATGTGTTCTCTGTATTGCAAAGGAGACTTTTTGTGTGTGCGTGCAACTCCTGAGGCTTGAACTTAGGAACACTGGAACGCTGTCTCTGACCATTTTTTTTGCTCAAGGCTAATGCTCTACCACTTGAGCCACACCTCTATGTGTGACTCTGTGGTGGTTAACTAGAGTTAAGAATCTCATGGACTTCCTGCCCTTGATGGCTTCAAACTACAATACTCAGATCTCAGCCTCCTGAGTAGGCAGAAACCTTAAAAAAAAAAACTCCTTCAATAATGTCTTTTCCTTTTGGGGGGAAAAAATTCAAGGCTTCCTACTTAGTAGGCAGGTGCTTGACCACGTGAGCCGTACTCTCAGCTTCAATAGATTACTTTATGGTTTGATAGGAAGTGTCTGACAAAAGGCTCAGGTTTTGAAGACTTGGTCCTCAGCTGGTAGAGCCAATCACTGAGAAGTGGTTAGCGCATGAGAGCTCTGATCTAATTCATGAATGGATCCACTGATGAATTCGTAACCAGATGTCATGATGGAGAGGGGGTGGGAAATGAGGAAGTGAGCCTGGCTGGAGTAAAGTAGGTCACTTGAGGTGTATCCTTGCCCCAGGCCTCCTTCCAGTTTCTCTCTCTGCTTTCTGGCTGCGCAGAGGTGAGCAGCCTCCACTATCACAAGCAGATGTCACCTTAGTTTGCCTTGCCTCTGGCTCCATGTAGTAGAGCCTGCTGATGTCAGAATGAAACCTCTCCAATTGTGCATCAAAAGAAGTCCTTCTTCCTTTAATCAACAGTTTCTCCAAGGTATCCATTGCAGAGATTAAAACAGTAACAACAACAAAACAAAACCAGGCTAAAACAAGCTCTCACAGCTTCCCTTTGGTATGCTAAAACTCCTTTCAATTACCCTTTGATTTAATCCTCACAACCTTGGGGGAAGCACTTTCTCTGCTCACAGATAAGGTTAAATAATTTGCCTAAAATGTTTATTTGGCAAGCTGAACAACCATGGCTGATTCCTGTAATCCTACCTACACAGGGGGCAGAGATCTGAGGATTGCAGGTCAGTGCCAGCCCAGGCAGGAAAGTGGGCAAGACTCTTATCTCCAATGAACCACCAGAAAACTGAAGTAGAACTGTAGCTCGAAAGTGGTAGAGCTCTATGGGTGAAAGAGCTCAGGGACAGTGCCCAGGCCCCAAATTCAAGCTGTACAACCAATTTCAAACAAAGTTTATGTGGCTCTTCAGTTGTAATGAGAACATTCCAAAACCTAGGTTCAAACAATACTGATAAAGCACTAAACTACTAGATTTATCATTAAAATAAACTCAGATCCACTCTAGTACTGAAGTTTTGGCCTTGGAAAAAAATGACTAAATTCTCTTTTTTCCTATCTGTACTATGGGCACATTTACCTACCTCAGTTGAAAATGTAGTTTTTAACCTTTCCATTTGGGACACAGAAACATTTATCTGAGGAAGAGCCCTAAGTTTCTGAAGCATAAATTTAAGTCCTGTACCACTGAATCTTAGTGGGAAGTTTTCTTTTTATTTCTTTTGAACTGTTCATAAGATATTTCAGAAATTATTATAATGTAGAAATAAAAATAAGAGCTTGAAGAATTGCAAAAGTTGAACAATACATGCTATTAAATGAATTTCATACCAACCAGAATAGATGAAATTCCTAAGCAAGAAAATTCCTACTTTGCTCCATTAAAGTTATGTTAGGCAAAGTAGCCCTATAAGGGGAGGATAAAATGATCATTTAAAACAATCACCTTCATTGGGCGCTGTTGGCTCACACCTGTAATCCTAACTACTCAAGAGGCATCTGGGGATCACAGTTCAAACCCAACCCGGGCAGGAAAATCCATGATACTCTTTATCTCCAATTATCCATCAAAATAAAGTCAGAAGTAGAGCTATGGCTCAAGTGGTAGAGCACTAGCCTTGAGCAAAAAAGCTTACAGACAGCACCAAAGCTCTGAGTTCAAGTCCCAGGACTAGCAAAACAATAATAGAAAAATAAAATTCTTTAAAAAATCACCTTAAAAAACATGAGAACTTTCATGCTGTTTTCCAGTGAAAATTAACTTTCGATTCTACTTTTAAGTCTAAATTGTAAAAATGTCCAAAGGGAAAGTAAAGTAAATGTCTAAGACTTCTCTTTCCCCTGAAAAGTGATTTTTTTTGCCAGTCTTGGGGATTGAACTTAGGATCTGGGCACTGTCCCTGAGCTTTTTTGTTCAAGGCTAGCGCTCTACCACTTGAACCACAGCACCACTTCTGGCTTTTTCTGTGTATGTGGTACTGAGGAATCGAACCCAAGGCTTCATGCATGTTGTACATGCACTCTACCACTAGGCTACATTCCCAGCCTAAGTGAATTTTTTTTTTTAATGCAACATGCAAACAATAGAAAATGAGTTAAAGCCAGGCACTGGTGGCTCACGCCTGACATCCTAGCTACTCAAGAGGCTCAGATCTGAGGATCGCGATTCAAAGCCAGCCTAGGCAGAAAAGTCTGTGAGATTCATATCTCCAATGAACCATCAGAAAATTGGAATTTGGAGCTGTGGCTCAAAGTGGTAGAGTGCTATCCCTGAGCAAAAGAGCTGAGAGGCAGCACCCCGGCCCTGAGTTCAAGCCCGACAGATGACAAAAAGGGTTAAAATACACAGCAATAATATTTATAACTTGGCTAAAAGTTTATCTGCATATTTATAATAATGAACCTATGAAGCAAACCCAACCGACATTTGAAAGAAGCAGTCTCTAATTTAAAAAGCAGTTCTAGGGCTGGGAAATGTGGCTTGGTGGTAGAGTGCTTGCCTAGCATGCATGAAGCCCTGGGTTTGATTCCTTAGTACCATGTAAGCAGAAAAAGCCAGAAGTCAGGCTGTGGCTCAAGTGGTAGAGAGCTAGCCTTGAGTAAAAGAAGCTCAGGAATAGTGCCCAGGCCCTGAGTTCAAGCTATTCCACAAATCACTTGGGTTCTGAAGGCTATTTTTTGTTGTTACACACACACACACATATATATATATATATATTTATGTATATATACACACGTATATGTATGTGTATATGTATATATCCCTTTGTCTCTTAAGTTTTGAGCATATTTCTGGTGTCAGCAGTATGTTTACTATATAAATACACGTAATAAATAACTAGATTAAAAATGAAAGAGCTCCAGTAATAGCTGGATCAACAAGTGATTTATTTTGTCAGTCAGGGGACTTGAACTCTGGGCCTGGGCGCTGTCCCTCAGCTCTTATGCTCAAGGCTAATGCTCTATCTCTTGAGCCACAGCACCAGTGCACCAGTTCTGGTTTTCTAGTGGTTTACTGGAGATAAAGAGTCTCACAAACTTATCTGTCCAGACTGGCTTTGAACCGAGATCCTCAGATCTCAGCCTCCTGAGTAGCTAATATTACAGGTGTGAGCCACCAACACCCAGCTTAAGTGATTTTTAACTTAAGGTTATAGTGATTTTGAAACCCCAACAATCATCTGTCCAAAAGACATGCGTACCTCAGTTCACTTGGTTTTCTCTCTGGAAGTTCCACGTGCTTGGAATCTGATTGTTGTTCTTCAGCAACTTTGGGTTCCTGGCTTACTTTGGGGGCCTCTGAAGCAAATGAGAGGTCCCCTTCATTGGAGACTCCAAAGAGGTCTGGGTCATCTTGAATGACATCAATTAAGAGGACATCGTCTTCATATGCTTTCAAAATGTCTGGAAATCCCACTTTGTCTGAAATGTTTTTAGTCGTTTTCCTACCACTAACTTTAGTGGCTATTGGCTCGAAGGTCACTTGTTTCTTAGAGCAGAATGAACTAGCTTCTCTACACCCAGGATCGCATGTAAAGGTATTCTTTTCAATGGTGAGAGAAACAGGTTCCTTAGGAGGAACAATATTGCCTGCTTCAGAGATGTGCTTGGGTGGTTTATGATTATCACCTTTCTTTGGAAAGCTTGGAGGAATACTACAAGAATTCTTATTGTAGAGCAAGTTTGAACAAGCTGGCCCTGGAGCCCCGCTTGTTTGTGTGTTCAAAGGTGTTAAAGTTGCTGTGGAGATGTTTTCTTTATTCCTATTCTGTCTTGTCTCCGTTCCAGACAGATTGTCCAGCAGTTCCAGGGGACTGTAAGCCTCTCTCTCTGATGTCTTGGCATTGACTTCTTTGCTTTTGCCTCTCTTATTCTTCAGTAAAGGAATTTTAAAATTGGTCAGCCGTCCGGTGTTTAATATTTTCACCAGGTCCGGAATTACAAGTGTTTGCTTAGCAATGGAGGCTTTTCGATGAAAACTTTTGCTGGTAGAATGACTGGCTTCCTGGCCCTCCTGGAAGGTGCCAGTCACAGTAGGTTTCGTTAAATTTCCCCTCTCCTTTTTCTTATTTCCTGTGGAGCTTTGAGTCCCGGTAGGTAACTGAGGATCTTCAGTTGTACTAGAAACCACCTCTGACCCATTTCTGCCACTTGGTTCCTCCGACTTGATCTTTTTATCATCGATCCCAGGGTCCTTGGTAACTTCCAGGGCAGGTTCTTCCGCTGAAACCGCTGGAACCCAAGCCAGGCAATCTAAAGGAGAATCTGATTTTTCTTTACTTGGGGGCTCTGTGTTGTTTTCTGTTGAGGAACTTTCTAACAATGATGGGGAGTCAGTGAACGGAGTTTGGCTTGTATAATGTTTAAGGAAATCACCTTGCCTACTACTCTTCACAAACCCAGGAAAGGAATAATCTGAAGAGTCTGGGAAGGAAGCTGTTTTCCAACAGTAGGCAGATGTTCTAGCACAAGAATAACAAGGCCAAATTCTTTTGCCAGCCATCGGGATGGTTCGTTGGCAGCTTGTCTTTGATTCTTCGGTTTCGCCTCTCTTATCTTCCCAGGAAGGTCTCTTTTCGGTACGATGGTGATGGGTAGGTAATTTCACCAGAGAGCTGGTCCCTGATTTGAAATACACGTCTGGCTCCATTTTTTTACTTCCTGAGGCATCTGAAGTATGTTTGTTTTCTTCTTTTAAAGAAAGGGGTTCAAGGGTTCCCTGAAATACAGCAGTTACGTGAGGTCTGGGACTTCTGGGTTTTTTTTCTCCCGGTTCTGGGAGACTGAGTAAATGACCTCCTTGAGAATGCGTGTTATGGTTTATCTTCTTCACAACTCTGCAAGAACTCTTTTTCCATTCTGTGGTGGGCTCTGTGTCTTTCCTCTCCATAGTGAGATTTTCTTGTGATATCAACTGAGACTTGTTACACATCTTAGAGACATTCATGTCAAGAACTGTTTGTTCTTTTTCACATAACTTCATCTTTTTCTTGGGTCTTTTCCCAACATTGTTCTCCTCTATTGCATGTTTAGTTTTTTCACTTTGAAGGCAGGAAAGTAAGCCATTATTTTTCCCTTGGTACAAATCACTTTCTTCAAGCAGTAATTTATTTACCCCTGTCAGATTCTCTGCAATTTGTGAGAGCTTAAGAATACTATCTGTGTCGTTCTTTTCTGTAAGACTCCTAAGATTTTCTTTCTTTAACTTGGAGGGATTTTTTGCTACATGTACATATCCACCATCAGATTTATATGCAAGGTCATTTTCATTATGACGGGGGAAACTATTGGAATCATGTAGCTTTAAAATGGAACTACTTTCTATTCCCGGCGACAAGCTGTTACAAGAATATTTTGCAGTACTCATGTACAGATCATCTTGGAGTCCAACCTTCATATTTTGTGTGGACTCGTTTTCAGTTATTGTGAAAGGTGGGTTTTCTAAACTTTTACTTTTTTTTATTCGAATTTTTCTTTTAATACCTTCTATCAAACCATCCCTAGCCACAGGCTCAAAGATAGTCATACCTTCTAATTCACTGCACTCCACTGTTTGTGAAGATTCGGAACTGGTTAATGGTTCTTTTTTGACCAGGTCTACTCCTGGCTGTGGATCATCGCTTGAGGTTTCAGTAACTTTTGCTTTTCCCTTGGCTGAATCAAACAACAAAACAGACCAGAAATTATTTTATTTTGGGGGAGGAAAACAACAACAATAACAAATCGTTTTAAAATTTAGAAGAAAAAAATTATGAAGACATCTATTTTTATTTCCCTTAGTAGTTATTTAGCTATTTTTGAAGTGAAAGAAGACATCATTTGCATTAAGGAACCCCATATAAACCTACATAAATTCTTAAAAAAAAAAAGCTGAAAAACCCTTATAACCACTACTATTTCACATTAGTTTAAATGGATTAGTAGGAATTACTTAGGTAGTAAAAAAAGGAAAAGAAAAAATGGAGAGGAGGGAAGAAGGGAGCCAGAAAGGGGGGGGGGGGGTTGATAAGTGAGCAGTGAGAGAGAGGGAGCAAAAAGGGGGAGGGAGAGGAGAGATGAGGGGGAGAGGAGAAAGGGTAGGGAGGGGTACAAGGGGAAGGAGAGGGGAAGAAAGGGGGAAGAGATGAGGGAGGGAGAAGAAGGGAGAGGGGGAGAGAGGAACGAGGGGATGGGAAGTGTGGAGGAAGGAAGAATTGAGAAGCAAAGGGGGGAAGAAAGGGAAAAGGATGGCAAATAGGGAGAGGAGAGAGGGAAGGGGAGACAGGGGGAGGGGGAGGGAGGGGTTGGGGTGTCTGGCTTGCAAGTCAGAGATCCTCCTGCCTCAGCTTCTCAAGCGCCAAGGGTCCCAGGAGTGTTCTACCATACCCGATCACCCCTAAATGGGTGAGTAGCTTTTATTTTATTTTTTTCTTTCGTCAGTCGTGGGGCTTGAACCCTGGGTGGGCCTGGGCCCTGAGCCCTTCAGCTCAAGGCCAGCGCTCTACCACTTGAAGCCACTTTCCCGGTTTTCTGAGTGGTTCATTGGAGATCAAAGAGTCTCACAGGCCTTTTCTTCCTCCCCCCCCCAGCCCCCACCAAGGGGCTGACCTTTGAACCAAGATCCATAGATCTCAGCCTCCAGAGAAGCTGGAATGACAGGCGTGAGCCCTAGGGGCGCAGGCAGGGTAGCTCCTGATACACCCAAGCCCTCCCACCCTGCCTCTCCTCATCAAGCAGGCCCATTGGATTCATCCAGGCACCCTCGGGGGTGGGGGAGATCGAGGGGGAGGAAGCAAAGGGAGGGGGGGGGTGTGCAGGGAGGTTTGGAGGCCAGCCCCCCTCCACGCCCCCCCCCCTTCCATCCTTACCGTGCCTCCCAGGCTCGGCCTCCCTGGCCGCTTCCACGCCTCCCGGGCCCGACAGGATCCCCACGGGTTCCCCGGGTCCCTCGGCTCTTCTTCGGGGGGGCCCCTCACCGGGCTGGCGGTGGTCACCATCCACCTGGTCTCCCGCACAGGTCCAGGCCCCCATCCGCCTCTTGGCTCGGCCCCACTCGTGTGCCCGGGCCTCGGGGCTGGGG